CAACGACGAGAAAACTCTGACCCTCCTTTCCCAGATAGCCGCCGGTTGAGGCAAACGCAGCAAGCTGGTCGGGCACGCGGTGGCGGGTACCATAGCCGGTCTTGATGAGGTAGCCGACCTCGGTGCTCAGATCCACGCTATACCGCGCCGGTGCTCGGAGCCATGCGTCACGGTCTGTCGTGGCGCCGCGTAAAAGGTTGAAGAAGCGTGATATGTTGAAGACGAGGGCTAGTCGGATAGCTGAGTCATGTGGAAGAATGGAGTAGATGATGAGGAGGGAGATGATGATTAGGATAAAGGGAGTCTTGAGACGACGACGGAGGCGACGAGAAAGTATAGCCATTTTGGGAAATAGGTGAGTTTAGAATGTGGTGATGTGAGTGAAGGCGTATAAAGATGAGATGAGGCTCAGGGGGAGCCGATGTGACTTGTTGAGGTGCCAATTTTGCGCCGCACCATTCTCATGAGGCTACTATTCTCATGAAGTCCTCATAACCGCAAAGGAAACGTTTCTTCTTTGTCAATGCCTTGATCCAAGTGAGAAAATGTCAATGCAGACGTATGTGCTGATCCCTTGCCCACACTGGATCACTGAAATGGGCAAGTTCGTAGCTGTAGATTTTCCACGTCTACAATTCCAACATGAATAAAGGAATAAAAAACACAACCAGCTTCAATCCGAAGACTCCAGAATCCAGATGAAAAAGAAACGAGGGGAATAATGATTATCGATGATGCCAGATGCAAACAAAAAAAATCAGGCTTGGGAACTTGCTACGAAACCAAGGTCTGGGTCGTCATGCTTGACGTTGACCTCGACTCCTTTTGATGACTCAGCAGCTGTCGGTGCAAGGGATGGGAGGGAACATGATTGGCTGCTAGGGTGATGCGCAATCTTGTGAATCCCTCCAAGGCAGATTTGGATCGTGAAATGTTTCAATTGGTTTTTCTGTATACCCTATATCGATCCTTATTTTCACCGGTGATGGAGTCTGGCAGTTTCTAGCTATCAATCGTTCTCTTTTTATTAACCAAACTGGGTACTTCAAATATGACCAAATACATACCATGATCACACAACATAGTCGGCCCGTCGAAAAGGAGAGCCCAACATAAACAGACAAGGATATTGTTTCAAAGCCAACACAGGTGATCAACCGAACCCCTCGTCAAAATAGAATTTATCCATTTTTCCCTCTTTCTTTTCTCGTAACAGCCAAGAAAACTCTATCTTGCCTAATATGTACACACCATGACCGTAACTAGACCAAATACTGCAATGAGACCAGCCATTCATGACATGCATCATGCGCATGATGAACAGGGATATTAATTGTTCCCTGTGACCATCACTCGAGCAAGAGTTCTCGGCAGATGTTATTGACAATCTGCACCCTGCCATTGGAAACATGCCAGTGGCTCCGCAGTCTGTAACGAGGCTGACATGATGTGTCTTCTAGAAGGCCACCCTAGTAGCATTCAATATCGGTATCCCACAACGTCCTTGTTTAGGTTGACCTCGAGCAACTAATTGACGTGAGGAATAGCCGAAACATAACCTCCTAAACACCGGCCTAGAGAACAGCCCCGAGGCTTAACTGCTCCACTTCCCCAGACAAGATATATAGACACTGCCGTTCTAAGAGATGCGCTGTATTGATTTTCATATGCAGGTACGCCTGGTACTGTTCTATCTTCTTCTGAAAGACCGTCATCATCTACAAAACCCGCTCAACTTCAACCCCCGTCTTACCACCCCCCAAAAAAGTGCTGATATCCTTCATCAAGAAAAACAATGGAATCTAAACCACATCGAAAACACCGGCATTTTGCAACGCCAACCCATGCAACAACAAAAAATAATAAACAAGCATGAAAGACGAAACACGGGCCGACTTTTCATCATCAAAAAGTCTCGGCCACACTCCCCCTTTGAAGCAGAGCAAACAACAAATACACATCCATCACTTCGTGGCACATGAATCAACGGCCCGAGATCAGACTCTTCAGAGCCGAAGCCCACTAGGAATCCTTCTCGAGCTCGTAGAATAGCAGATACACCTCCCGCTGCATGCCCAGCACCTCGCTGGTCTTTGCCTCGCGCACCTTTTCGTCGTTGACCCGCCACCACTTGTCCGTCGTCTTGCGCCTCCTCGATCGTTTAGGAGGCGAGATCACTGGCTTTGGTGGTGACGGGCTGTCGTGTGTCTGCTTTGGGGACGTGAGCTTGGAGAGCGCCGACTTGGTAGATGCGGCGACAGAGCGGAGACTGACAGTCTCGGAGTCCTTCTTGCCTATTGCTGGGAGACTAATCGAGGTGCGTAGATCCGAGGGGACGCTCCTCGGAGGGGCAGCCATTGACTCCAGAGACGGCGTCGATGAACTGTCGCCCGACGATGCCGATAGGAGATCAGGGGTCGAGATTGCCGGGCTGTGTGTCGGACGAGCCCCAATCACGGGAGTAGAAATAGGCGTCGGGGTCTTGCTGTAGACCTCGGAAGCCTGGAAAGTGTTTGGGTTGGAGTAGGGGGCAGGGAGGTTTTGCCGCCTAAAGGCTTCATAGTGACCACTGTTATGTCCACCACGATGGGTTACAAGGCCTAGAAGCTTGTACTTCCTCTGGTCCATCAAGCCACCCAGGGGCAGCTGCTCTGGGAAAGAGACCTTGGCAGAGTTCTTCTGCGTCATCTGCCCGGCGTCATAAATGGACCGCGAGAGGTGAATGGCCAGGATCTTGGGAAAGATGGACATGCGAGTCGTCTTTGCGATTCTCCGCTTGGGCGCATACCGCATATCACCAAGCTCCACATCCTCAGGCGGGTTCTCGGGATCCGTGTCAATGGCGTACTGCAGCTTATCGAGGCTCTCCTGGGCTTGCGCCTTGAAGCTGTCAGATGTCGACTTGGCAATCTCATCTTTTAGGTTGTTCCTCGTCTGCAGCAGGCGGCACATCTCGCACTTGAAGTCGTCAATAAACTCGGTCTTGAAGATTCCATCAAAGCACCCGTTGAGGGTTGTGCTCGAGACCTGTGGCACAGCCAGTGTGATGGTACAGAAAGTTTCCTCTCGTGGCTTGGTCTTGTATCGACAAGTCTGGCATTCTAGATGGGACTCGTATTTTCCCTCCATGGGGAAGCCCTCCTCTATTTCAATTGGTAATTGGCCGTTGATCTGGGGAATCTCGGCTTCTGTGGATGGTTCAATGGCAGAATCGCTGTTGTCGTTGTTGGCTGACTGCTCCTGTGATGATCCATCGCTATCATTCCCGTTGACCTGGCTGCTCGACGTTTGATCGAGGCTTACGGTGCTGGGCCTGGCAATCAGACCTCTCCGGGCGTGGAGTCTTGCGCGCTGGCCGCAGTGATACTCATCCTTGAGCCGCTCAGCGACAATTTGCAGGAACTCCTGCGCGTCTTGCTGCTGGCGACTGATCCTCTGCTTAAAAGCAGCCTCCAGGACCTTGACGAACTGGAAAGGGGAAATGGACTTCCTATAGATGGGGCGCTCGTTAAGCGCATCCAGCATCTCCTTCAATCCCTGGGTAACGAGGCCCTCCTGTAGACCCTGTAGCTTCCATTGTGCCATCTGCTTGCCCTCGGGCTGGACGAGACTGGCATATACGGCGGGATCCTCAATACGGCGACGGTGCGTCTCGCGGATCAGGTAGACGCGCAGCTCCCCGAGGCCGGCGAGGGCCTGGAGGACCGAGTTGATGAAGCAGTCATTGGCCTGGTTCCGCAGACCGACAATCGACTTCTTCTTTGAGCTCGCGGGATCGTGATCGATGGAAAAGTTGGGCGCAAAGACGTAGATGAGGGCGGCGGCGGCGAGAGAGGCTCCGGCGGCGTAGGTGACGACCGACGCCGACTTGTCGGGCATGGTCAACGGGGAGCGGAGCGGGAACCGTTCAAACGGTTGCTCGGAAGGATCGGGATCTCGGGGGGTTTCGAAAGGTCGAGCAGCAGCAGTGGGAATCAAGCTCAAGTCTGACAGGTCAAACGGTTTTACAGCAGGCTGTGGCGCGCGGGCATGCCCGGTGCTGTATTCTTTTTCCTTTATGCGAGGGAGGGTTTGGGTTACGGATAGAGTTTCAGAGCCCTCTTTTTTTGTGTGTTTCTGCTGCTAGCTGCTGTCTGGGAGGGCCGACGAGGACATGGCAAGGTCGAAGATGCCAGAGAGAGGAGTCGGTATGTGAGGAATGTTGTGGAGAGATATGCAACCAAGACTATTAACTCAAAATCTCAAGGCCAAAAAAGAAAAGAAAGGTTCCGAATGGCGGCGTGGAGGGGAAGTTTGACGTCGAATCGCGAGGCAAGATTTTGGGGGGGCAGCAAGGTGGTTTCCAATCCGATGGCGATGGCGGGTTTTCTGGAAAAAGCGAAGCCGGAGCCCGCTGCGAAAGAATGGGCCGAAACCCGCTGAAGGGTCGCCCTATTCGGGCAGGTCGCAAGGGGGGGGAGCAGCTCCGACACGGGGCGCCAGTGGAGGATTTCTAGCGTCCTTTTGGGGAGGGCTTCGGTGGATCCCCCGCCCCCTCTTCTTCCCCCGGGAACAGGCCTCGGAAGCTTCGGTGGGGGAACCTGGAAATGTCGTTTGCTGCTGACCACCAAAACGTACCAGCGAGGCATGCACATCTGCTACCCTGGACCTTCACCGTATCCCGTTAAACACGCGGATAGAATGCGATATCGAGGGGCCCTCGAGTGAGGGGGAGGGGCTCTGATCCGCGTACTAGGAATAGTAGCTCCGAAGATGTGTATTTCTATTTGTCTGCTTTACTGTTGGTCTCCTGTTGTTTTTGCCGTTTTGCCGGATCACCAAAACTTGGCGGTCCGTCTCGAGATCCACAACTCGCCGAACGTGGGGAGCCAGGCACCGAGTTTCTAACAACTCAGCAGGAATATCCACAGGTTACGGATATTCACGAGATATCCATTCGATGCCAGATGACCCATATACAAATTATACAAGGAAGCCTTGCTTTGCGTCGGTGTGAATAATTACTTGTAAACACCCGCGAGGTCTAGACCGTCCTCGATTCTACCCAGTATTATATCTCAAGTGTATCTATATCGTGACTTGCTTCCATGTCAAGACTCCTCCACAACGGTCCCTTGCCAATCCCACAAGCTTCCATCCAATGCTCCTCGCCTCACCCACGTCGTAACAAGCTCACGGGGCATCTCGTCACCGTAGAACGAGGTGGGAACATCGTACAGCTCAACCGTCATGCGTTTCTTGGGGTCAATCTGCTTCCAGCGATCCGTCTTGACCCCCCTCCACACAAAACCGGCGTCCAGCAGCACGATCTTGATATCTCGGTCGAGTTTGGCATCGTCCCGGGGTAGCTTATGAAAGTACTCATCCTTGATGTTGGTGGCCTCGACGTTGAGGGACCGCGCGAGGATGACATGCTGCAGCCTGGGGAGCGTCGCAATGTCCCACCACAGCCAGTGGCTGTCCACCGGCGCCCCGAACAGCGTGAGGCGCTCGAGGTCGGGCCATAACCTCCATACGTCCGTGGGGCTGTCGGGGACACTCAGCGCCGGATAGTCGCCGAGGCAGACAAACTCCTGCAGCCTGTGCAGTCGCTCAAACCCCTCGCGGAGAGTTCTCCGGATGCTGAGGTGGTCATCGAGGGGATCGAGGCTCTGGAATGGCATGAGAACCACCAGCCTCCTCAGCGTCTCGCAGACTTCGCAAAAGAGCTCTCGCACCCAGATCGCCGTGGGCTGGTCATCGAGGGAGTCGCCAAACGGGGCCAGATAGAGAGATGTGATATTTCGCAGGGATAAGACGGGCGGTAGGCTCGGGACAAAGCGAGGGACGCAGAGCAAGAGGTCAGCCAGGCGGCGGTCCGTGTCGATATAGAGGCATCGCTCTCGCAGAAGCCGAGTGGCCAATCGGTACGTGTCGCGCGAGACCCGTGTCAAGGCGAGGAGCGTCTTTGTCGAGATATGCGAGGGCGGTATCAAGGCGCGAGGATTCGAGGGCAGGACGGACTCGATGATGTGGTAGAGCAGCTCGGTGGGCAGAACGCGCATCGAGTCTGGCGCGTCAGGCTGCGCATGCGCCTGTGACGTTTGAGAGATCATTGCCATTGACGAGATGGCAGCCTACATGGCTGATTACCCATTGAAGACTCGCGCTCCGGGCGTCGGGTGAGGTTGGAGTTTGTATAAAAAGAGGCGTGTCCAAAGGCGCCGCCGCCCGCTAGGAGAGGGACTTCAGCCTTATCGAGCGTCATGACAAGGGTTGCGATAAGCGACAATACCGACCCCAGGAACGTCTACCGGAAGCTGACGTCAGCGGTCTATTTCAGTACAACTCTACCAACACATCAGTTATTGATTCAAAGCCATGATGGCTCAGAAACTCACTGATTTGAAAGAAATACCACTGCTAACTTTGGAGTCTCTTGTTGTTACCATAAAAGACTTTAACTTATTAGAACAAGCACAAAGACCATTTACCCACGCCTTCCAAGTCTGGTTGACTGGGCTGTGAACACCATCATGCCTTTGTCCATAAACATAAGCAAGAACAATGAAAAGCAGAGTAATCGACATCTGACTTGGTATAAGTATACCGTAGAAGTCTGTTAACTCGAGGTTTTATAGTCAGCCTCGAGAACAACAACACACTCTCCAACACCAACAACCATCTACTTACTACACACAGATCAGGACAGCCACCAACATGGCCAACAAACCAAGCAACAGCACCGAACCAGCTGAGACTGCAATCTCTCACACCCTTGAGCTTGCTAAGCGTGACACACAAAAGGACAAGTGCTGGATAAGCGAAGCCATTGAAGACAAGATGAGCTGCGAAGAGCACAGGGAATACTTCTCCACCATTGTCTACACTCGAGGTGAGCTTGAGAAGCCCACCTCTGGTCCGTACGGGAGACCGGATGAATATCTTCGTGGAAAGCTCCAAGTTGTCCCTCCAGAGAAGAGTTGCATCTTTGACTTGCCCATCGCCGATAGGGAGGGCATCCCTGGGTGTTGTGTTCCTCAGTGCTCCTCTGAAAAGGAGACCTGCTTCAGGGAGGAACTCATCAGCCACCACTTCGCGAACCGCATCCACGTCTATGATCGATTCAGGGGCGAGGAGTATATGGAAAGCCTGTTGGATCAGGCAAAGGCGATTGTTGGCGGCATCGAGAAGCGTGTGTCGGAGGCACCAAAGGGCGATGACATTAAGTCCTTTGATGCAGCCCTCGACGCGCTCACGATTGTTGACTTTACCGACGTCGTTGTCGAGACCCCCCTTCTAAGCACCAGGTTGCTCGACAAGATTCCCTTTCCTCCTTTTTTGTATGGCGGAAAAGACGGCCCCAACGCTCAGGCGTGGACAAGACGCCTTAAGCCAGAGGACCCCCTCCTTGAGTGCGAGCACATACGCCATCTCATGATTCGCAAGGGTGACAGGCTATTGCCTTCGACGGTGGCCCACAGCGTGCGCGGTACCTTTTCCCGGATCCCTCTTCTACAGTTGGAGGATATCGATCATGCTGCTTTGGAAAGGTACTGTTGCGATCGAGATTCCTTGTTTGACCTCGAATGGCGGCTTCTCAGCAACCTCGAGACCCTCTGTCTAGACATTCGTGGCATCATGGAAGACAGGCGCCAATCACTCGAGGATTTGTTCGTCAAGATGGGCAAGCGCCTTCGTCTCAAGACTCTTGTTCTCATCGGTGTCCCCCAACTGATCGACTTCAACTTGGTCGGTAGCAAGGAGTACGTTGCGCAACAAGAGGATGACAAGTTTCTGGTATTCCCAGGGGATGAATACAATGATCCCACCGAACTCACCAACTACATCCACTTCCTCAAGGAATGCCTTCGCCCAGGCGGCGAGCTGCGCCTAGTTGTGCCCAACCCCCCGGCTTGACACAATTGCCCAAATGCTGTGTATTGACTGTTGACAGACACCTTTGAGAGTTGATCCGATATTGCCCAGACAGTTTTCACGTCGGTGCCTCCATAGATAGCTGTCAAAATCAAACAAAACATTGCCCTTATCTACCGTCCCACCTGTATATCATAGGACAAAGGAAAAGTGCCGCTGATGCATCCAGTAGAAACACCCTTCCATAACACCATGAAGGCTTCCCAGCAGTTTTGGTTCAGACCGTGACAAGTGAAATCCTACTCAAACAATCGCACATCTGAACTACTTTCGTCCACCACCCTCATAGTTGTAGTCCACACTCCACAGTGAATCCCATACCACCGACTTCTTCGTCTGGCTCTCAATCGAGTCCTCCCGCTGCACCGCAATCCGAGGCTGCCAAGTGGCCATCAGCAACCTAGGGTCCTAGAAGGGAGTCGACGTTTCGTACCTCGTCCGGTCGGGCGCCGCCGCCTTTTGCTGATGACTCGCTCGGGGGCGACTTGGCAAGGTTGTCCGCTTGTTCGTTCCTCTGCGCATCTTGGCCGTCCGCTGCCCGGTTCGAACTGCTGGCATTGGTCGTAGTGAGAAGCCCTCCTTGTGTGGGACTCGCGCCGGAAGGGGTGTCTGTTGGGTGAGCTCGGAGTGAGTTTGTTTCACTGGCCAGGGCGCTGTTCTTTAACAAAGTCGTACCTCCAAGCTGGAACGGTAGAGCCTTTCTGGACCCGGTGCTGCTGCGTCTGCTCTCGAGACTCTTGGATAGAGTCTTGTTGATACCCTCGATACTGGCGACGCTGTCACGGCTCTTACCCCTGGCGCCCGTGGCATGAGTATGTATGTTTGCCGTCGCTTCTACCGTGTTGGCTGCCACCGTTGACTTGCCCATACCCGGGGTCGAAGGAGCCCCTGGTTTGTCCTCGAAGGCATCGATTAGATACCACCGAAGACCGTCGGACAACTGGAAAGGGTTGTCATTCTCCTCATCGTTAATCGAGTCCGTCTCGTTACTTGGCTGTAGACTCTTCGAGAGGTCCACCACACGCTCCTGGATCCGCGAGATTCGGGCAACAAGCCACTCCCGGTGACGGAGTCGATGAGCATCCTGCTCTCGGAGGAAATAGTGAGGGAATCCGACATTAAAGGCCGCCCATGCTCCTGCCTGCTGGTTACGCGTCGGTAGGAACAAGGCGAGATCGCCCTCCTTGAAGTGCTTGAACGCAATCTTTTCATGCGAGTCCTTTTGCAAGTGGTGAGCCTTTTCCCGGTAAGCTCGTGCCTCTCGCTGCCATTTCCGCGCCATGTGTTCCACTTCTTTAATTCTGCGGTAAATGGTTTCCGAGAATAGGTCCATGTCGAAATTGCCAAGCTTGTTCATGAACGCCTCGTACTTCTCGCCCTCGGCTTGCATGTCCGAGTTGCTGAGCCAGTAGAGGAGCTCAAGATCTGTGCTGTCGGCCATGGCACGGCTCAGCGTTGCTGATTTACGGAGAGATGAGCCAGGGTCGGAGGAGTCGTTGGGGTTCTGGGCGTTCCTCTCGGCTCGCGGAATCTTGGTAACCGTCACCTCCCCATCCTTCCGCGTAATGGCGAAGCCTACCCGCTCGAGAAGACGACACATGCGTTCGTTTTGCGAGTATAGTCGCTGTGTTAGATCCTTTGTCTTCTCATCCCGTGACTCATATTGGGTGCTCTGAGTAGACAGCTTGCCCTGGAGGGCTTCGACCTTCTCCTGGAACAGGTGAAGCTCTTCCTCCAGACTGCCGACCTGGGATTGCTTCGATGCTACCTCTTCCGTCAGCGTTATCACCTTCTTCTCCTCTTCCTCGACCCTCTTTTGCAATGCTTCTGAGCCACTTTCACCGTCACTGAGTTTACCACGCAACTCGGTCAGCTGCTCTCTGCCATCTGCCAGCTCCTTTTCCAGAGCAGAGACCTTTGCCTCTTCCTTGGAGAGACTCTCTCGAAGGTGGACAGTTGTGATTTCATCTTCAGAAAGCTTCGAATTCTTTTCAGAAATCTGTTCCCGCAATTCCTTGGCGGTTGCTGTGAGGTGCTCCACATCAGTCTTGAGCAGATCAATGTCAGCACCCGAGTTGCGTAGCTTGGCAATGATCTCTGTCGCTACAGCAAGGAGAGAGTCTGAGAGATCCACCAGGTTGTCAGGGATGGCAGCATCGGGCGAAAGCTCCGCATAGAGCTTTGTCAAGGCCTGCCACTGATTTTCCGACGTCTCCTCGGCAGTGGCCAACATTCTCGAGGCATTGCGAGCTTCCTCTTGAGCCGACTGCACTTGTCGCTCCAACGTCTCCTGCTGCTCCCTCTGAATCCTCGTTTCTTTCCTGAGAAATTCGACTTGGCCCTGAGCCTTGAGAGCATCGTCCTGGCGTTGCTTGTTGATCTGCTCAAGCTCGGCCTCAAGCTCTTCCACCCTGACAACATAGCCAGCCTTTTCGTGCTGCCGAGACTGATCGAAATTCTCGATTTCGTCCTCAGTGTACTCCAGGCGGGCTTTGAGGTTCTTGATCTCGCTCTCCAGAGACTTCCTCTCTTCCAGAAACTCGCGCTTGAATGCCTCCATGTTTCCAAGTAGATCCTTCTTGGTGGTGTTAACCTCCTCAATCTGGCCGTTCAGGTCATCATGGCGGCGTTTCAAATCTTCATTCTGGCCCTTCACATCCTCGTGCTGGGTTGCTTGAGCCGCGAGCTCTTGTTGTAGACGAGTCGAACGCTGCTTCTCTTCCCGTAGTTCATTCTCCAACTGAGTGACACGACGTAGTAATGGATCCAAGCCATCTGAAGATCGTCTGCGATCGTCGAACCGACTTGATCTGACCGAAGAACCGGAGTTGCCCCTTTCGCGTTGTTGAGGACCTGAAGGTTGGAAGAGATTTCCCGGACGGGATGCCTGGCTTTGCCGATGTAATAGGTCTTCCAACCGTCGAACCCGACTCTCAGCTGTCTTGAGCTTGTTCTCGAGTTTGCCCTTGTCGTCCTGAAGCGACCGGAGGAGATCGTCATCTCCTCGAATCATCAGCCCACTTCTTCCAAGAGCCGCCTCATGCACGCTCCCGTTCTTAAAGGCCTTGAGTCTCTTGGACTGCTGCTTTGTCGGATGATCAAGATCTTGCACAAGCTTCATCACGTCGCCTAGAACAACCTGGTCAATATCTTGCTCTTGCAGGATCTGAATGAAATCCGTCAGATCCTCCTTTGTCACCGATGGCCAGGGGATGTCTTCTCCCAGCAAGTTGACTTCGAGACCCATGACATTCGTGTCCAGGTCTGGCCCATACATGCTGCCAATCATCTTCTGCCATTTCCGCCGCCGTTTTGACTCTTCGTCTTGAAAGAGCGCCATCTCATTCGCCAAGGTCGAAGAATCAGTCTTGACCTTGTCAACCCATTCTCGACGTCGAACAGCTTCTGCTACGAAGGCAGCGTACATATAAGGGAGTTGATGAATCAGACGCAAGTAATCAAATGTTGTCATGTCATCCTCGGACTGGTTGAGCACGTTGATCTGGGTCTTGACATTACTGTGGAGAGATGTAATCTCTGTGACGTATCGCATAAACTTGGCCGACTCGGAGGCGATGGAGTTGCGCGCATCGGTAGCATAGTGAAGCATGTCGTCCATCTCCTGAGCTCGCATTTTCAATGTCGGCACCATATGCTCAGTGTGAATAGAGGCTGTCTTGGACGCTTGGGCGAGGTCGCGTTGCGAATTGCTGTATGATAGAGCCGTGCGATAGTCAGAGTCCATCTGTTTCACCACCGCCTCGATATCCTCGAGGAGCTGCGCAGAGTCAGCGCTGTGAGTTAGAGCAGAACGGCTCATCAGCTTCTCAAAGTCGCCAATCAATGCTTCCAAGCCCTGGTACATGCGCGAAGCCGCATTGTCGAGTTCCTTGGCCTTATCACTGAACCTCCGATGAGCGGTTGGTGCTAGCTTCCCTGCCTTTTTCGCAGTATCCAGCTCGATCAGGTCTTCCAGGGTCGGCCTAGACTTCTTGACCTCTCGTCGAGTCATGAATTTCACCATCAAGGGCGAAACCGGGGTGTTCTTCGCAAGCTCGAGACATTGTTCCCATCCTGATACCAGGTTTCCATGCTCTTCCAAGGTCGATGTGACCCATTTCTTCAGGTCAGTGTATTTCGGTTCAATCTGCTTGATGCTGATTTCAAGATTGGTTACCGCGGCATCCAGGCACTTGATGATGACGTCGATTTCGTCATATCGTGCGTGTGTAGCCGCATTCATGTGTCCGCAGTCTTCCGCCAGGCGCATCGCCCAGTTGCGGCGATCCTGGTACAGGGTTTGCCATGATGATATCACTTGTACGTCGTCGATCGAGTTCGGCGCACTCGTGATAGCGTAAGGCTTCGGCGCAGAGATTGGGACGATCAGGTTTGCGGCTCCCGACGCGCTTATTCGGATGTCGTAGATGAAGACTTCTTTCTTTGGGCGAGTTAGAGACGATTTGTCTTTGGACGTGTTACATACCTCCGCATGCAGGTTGGCAAACTTGACGGTGCGCCCGTGAGGGGTCAAGGCGACGATATGCTGAGGTGGGATCGAGGTGTTCCTGGAGACCCAGGCCTTGAGATCATCGAGGCTGCGGCCAAGTTAGCAAGCAATCGGGAACAGGATCTGACATGGCGAGTCATACACGGAGAACTGTGCGATATCGACCTCCAGCCGCTGGCCCGTATGGGCTATCAACACCTGGAGAGCCATCCCGAGACATCTCCCATGGAAAGCGATGCCGCGATGCGCGACCGGCGAGGGCGAGAACGTGGGTCAAGGGATATATAAGCAGAATCACCGGAGCTTAGCACGATAAGGCCGGTGTTTAGGGATGCCTGACTTTCTTATAAAGTGTGTGTATTCGCGTGACGAAAGTTAGACCGACATCCAAGCCACCCGTGATTGTCCTTGGGAGTGCATGTTAGCGTGACCGGTGCCTTGTGACGGCTGCCTGCGCTTATTGGTAGTGTGCGCCACAGTATTCAGCCGCATTGCACAGCCACATTAAGACGGCTCTCATCCACTATCGCGCATATGCTTTCATGACGCGGTTGTCTGGTTGAGGTTATCGATACCAAGAGAATAACAGTGATATTTCCTTTCTCATGGCGGACTCGATCGATCAGCCCATGGCCAACGGCCAGGATGAAGCCTCTCATTTGCCCATATCGGAAGATGAGGAGAAGGTCCTTGCACTCTACGACAGAATACAGGAGCTTCGGTTAGAAATTGCAATCATCAACGCGCAACGCTCTCACCAGCCAGGTTTGTTTCTGCGAGCAGAAACTCTGTCCCATAAGCTCACATACCCGCAGATGAGCCATCATCGTTTACACCAGAAGAAACACGCAAGGCACAGTTGGAGCTTCTTGGGACAAGGGCAAAATATGTCCTGAGGAACGAGGTGATTGACGCCGTTGTCATGGCCAACCCAATCCTCAAAGCCGTTCATGGCGGGACAGAAGCTTCACCTGTTGAACGGTTTGATCCCCTGTTTTCTCACACAATCACACATGGCTGACATTCACCAGTGAACTTGTCCCATATGTGGAACGCAGAGACGAGGCATCCATTGCGGTTGCCCAGGAGGCGGCCAAGACTGGCAGAGTTTGGGACGAATTGACCTCCACGCAGAGCGACACTTTGCTTGCCTCTCGGAAAAACGTGGCATCAACTGCAGAGCTATTTGAACTGGCAGAGAAGGCCAAGCAAAAGAAGAGGATTCCACCGAACAACACCAAGATGATACAAGAGCAAGCGAAACTCGAGGCAGAGCTCAAGGTGAGCAAGCAGAGATGGAGAGTAATGAAGGGCGTGGCAAGCGGGATAATCGCCGGCAGTGGGATCGACTGGGCGCGCGATGATGAGCTACTCGACGTTGTTCTTGATCCTGAGATGGAAGAATGATACCACACATGACACCCAGTCTTCGAGAATGTTCATCGTGACTACTGCATGCACTGGGAATGGCCTCCGCACCGGTCTGCATCCCGGTGAGAACCCGGCTCTCGAGTAAGATACATACCCTAGAGATGGAGACTCGAGATCTGCTAGGGTTTCTCGAGGGCTCAAAGAAAACTCTGACGACGCGACTTGAGCCGTGAGTTTGCGGCTAGCGATGCGCGCCGACGGCAGTGCCTGGAAAAGCTCGTCATGCAAATGCAGGTGTCAGGTTTCGAATCATGGATCCATCTCTTCTGGTCATCTTCCCTTGCTCGATTTCCCAAGAATTCGCCAGTCCCAGCAGATGATTTCCCTCGTCTCCATCCACCAGGAACACCCGATAGGGCTTAGCAGATGTAGGGAGCTATGACCATCGCGTGAATGCACGTGATATGGCTTGGCGATTTCGAGACACGCAAGGCACTGGAAGCTCGGACGTCGACGAGAATGAAACGACAAGGAAGCACGAGAAGTTGGGAAAAATCAGTCATGGGGTGATTGGGGGGAGTCGTTCAGATCCGGAAAATCCGCAGCGGAAATCATTCTCCCAATCTCATCTCCCTGGGAAACAATGAATGACCAGACCAGACCAGACCAGACCAGATCGGCAAGCCGCAAGAGTCGTCGCTAGCCCCGGGTTGGGCAGCCATCGAGACGCGCTGAACCTTGCGCGTTTTGCCATGTCCCTCAGGTCAGCAGCAAGTAAGGACCACGACAGAAAGCAGGTGGCAGGAAATAGAAAGGGGCAGAAAGACAAGCCCTGGCAGGAAGAAGAGCGAGTGGAGAGGAACGCAGAGTGTTTGCGTGGGCGGGGGGACGCTCAGCTCCCCCTTCTGAGCTCTGGCGCGAGCCCAGAGCCCGCTCGGCGCCCAGGTACAGCACAGTATCAGATGCCAGGAGGACTACATGACCACCCAAAGACAGGTGTGTCGCGTACCCGCTGGAAGTCTCTGCTGGTACCTCTCTCGTGGGCCACTTACGGCGTGCCTCTGCACCTTGTTTTGGCCCGGCGCGACCAAATGGCGCGCACAGCCCAGACAAGCCCATCCAGACAAGCCCGGCAAACCCGCCCTCGCCGGCCAATTTGCTTGCTTGTCTCTTTGCTCCGGCTGCACCTTGCCTTGCCTTGGAGGCTAGGAGTTCCTCCTACCACGCCCATTACCTCCACCACGACCACGCCCGGCGCGCGGTAGCCCACCAAGGCCTTTTCGCACGACTCGTGGTACCCGCTACGCCCGCAGACAATGTATGCGTCATGAGGTATCTCTCGTCATCTGCCATTTCTTGTCGCCTGTCTTGGCCGTGTTGTTCTCGGTGCGTTTGAGAGCACTGATGTGCATGGCATCGAGGGGCAATGACCGATGATGCACCTCCTGCGTATGATCTTCGTTCTTGTTCTCCGCAGAACTCGCTTGAAGAAGGAATGCCAGTCGACAACCCCGAACTGCGGTGATACACTCAATGGCACACAATACCAGCCTTTCCGTGCCGGAAGCTAGGACCGTATTGTGTCCTTGCACACTGACTCTGGAAGAGTGGCATGGGAAACGAGGGCCAGACTTTCAGCAGTTGACTAGGGTGTGGTCTCAAACCAAAGGTTGCCTCTCAAGCTCGCTTCGGGGAACCATGAAAACGTACTGTATGTTAGAGCGCCTATTGTGATGATGTTTGGACTTGTGTCTTCTCCCCTTCAAGGCAAGGCGGCACAGGGAGGTGTCGTTGCGTTGAGGCCAATATGAAGGGGATGGCTGTGAGGAGGCGAGCATCCAATCCATGTGAGGAGGGTACGCACCAGCTTGTACCTGTACATTGAAAATTCGTATGACGGTACTTGTCCGTCATGCATGATCAAAGTACCCCGCCAGTCCATCGCTGCTCCAGTTATCATCAGGAAGCATAATCCATAAGGCGCCGGGGGGAAAATCCCAGTGGTCTAGAACTGATGGAAGACGGTCACGTAGGCGACCCAGAGTTGATCGTGCGTACAGAGTACTGTAGGCAAAATTGGCTGGCGTGAGAGCATAGTCAGAACCATGAGCCATGGGCGCCGAAAGCCGTAACAAGAGGCGAGATGATGTCGTCCAGAGCAGCCAAGGGCCTGCCTGTTACGCCCATTGTATCAATATCATTTCTGCTGGCCATCGGAGGTTGTGCAAGTGATACAAATGTCTCTAGGTAGTGTCATCGCCAAGTGTGCACATACGGTATGCTTGAGGCAGTAGCCTCGGCGTATCGCAGCGCAGGGGTGTGAGAGGAGAGTTGGAGAGTGAGGTAAAACATAGCCCGAGATTGTCTTGGGCACAGGATAGCGCTGGGGTTTCCAGAGACAACGTTCATCTGCCTGCCTGTCCACTGTACTGTACCAAACGGCAGAGCTTGGAACAGAGACGAACCCGAAAGCGGGTGGTCGCATTTGGTCGCCCGGTTGCCCGGCACGGATTCATTCTTTGTCGTGAACGAGATCGGATACTTTCCCCAAGTCTTAGCATGCTCCGATGCCAGGGTGCAACAGTGATATTCGTGGTGGTGAGGGGAGGGTGCTCCGCCGTAGCAGCGCCAAACTCTGAATTAGCAATACAATGAGAGCATCCACCACCGTCTCTCAATCATCAGCCAGCCTCCCTCCGAGTACGGCAAGGTATCACTTTTCATAGAGCCACTTTTTGTGGGCGACAATCTGCCCTGCTGACGGGTGTTTTCTTAGCAAGAGGAGGAGCGTCGACGTTTCGAGTCGAGTCCCAGAGCTGAGGCGGCTGGGCTGGGCTGGAGCCAGACAACTAACAAGGAGCCGCCGGTATCAAGTCTACCCAAGACAAGGACCGATGGGCGAGACACGAGGAAGACGCGCTTGGGCAAGGTGACAGACAGACTGCCCGAGATGGCGTTGGATGGAGTCGGGGAACGTCAGCGCCTGGTACGCCAGTCCGCTGCGGGTTGAGTACGCAGGCACGCGGGTTAAAGTTCCTCTGCCGCTGGCGCAGGAGCTCACTCCTAGTCCAGCCAGGTATGGAGGTAAGGTAATGTAGCCCACAGTCACGGTCCGTAATGGCAATGTTGTACGCAGCAGGCAATGGTGTGGCACAAGTAACGAGAGCAAAGAAACAAATGGCGCGCAGACAGGGAGGAGGGTGTCAGTAGCGTCCATGTCGAGCGCGACTGGAAGCCCGAGATTGATTGATGAAGGATAGCGGCCTCAGGGAGGTGGAGGTGGAGGGACTGGGAAGTGGTGGAGGGAGACGACGGATGAGGGCGGCGGCAGGGCACGGGTACGGTATCACCCAGAGAACCCGCTGGACTGAGCTCGTTGACTGGGCAAGGACGAGACTGAGCGGCGGCCGGGCAGGGAGACGGACACAACGTGAGCAGAGCAGAGAGGGGAGAGAGGCACAGAGTGTGGTCAACAACAAGGGTGATCACTCATGGTCAAAGGCAGAGGGGCTTGCGAGTCCCAGTCCAAGTTCCGTCGGCCCCCCCCAAAAGAGGCCTTGGGTCCAGGTATACGGTGCGGATTGCGAAGCAGGTGTTGCGGTACAAGGCCCTTGTACTGTACCTCGGCGCGGCGGGCTGCGTGCGGCTTGTACCTGTACAGTACCACGCAATAATAGCAGCAGGACCACAGGCTTGCGGGCTGGTGAGTGGCCAAAGGCAGGTGCTTCTGAGGAGCTTGGGTGTCCGGGCTCGGTTTGAGTCCTGGTCGCTCTCCCCCTTGGTGCTGGGGGAAGAGGTGCGGCAGGTACTTGGTACAGGCTGCTGCGACAGTACCTCCTACTAGCACCAGCACCAGGCCAGCACCGGGCAAGCAAGCTCGAGGCACCGCAGCCCAGAGTGCGCGCGCGCGCCCATTTTTTCGTCAAAGGGCAGGCAGGAAGGGTCCGAAGGGAAGGGAAGGAAGGGGGGTCTCGTCTAAGAAGCAAGCACCGCACCCAGTCCAGCCCAGTTGTTGCCAGTGCCCAGCATAACAGTCGGTCCAAGTGTGGTAGCTGGGCAGGCCGCGTTCCCTCCCCACGCACAATCACCTCCCCATAGTAAAAAGGCTGCCTTGGCCTCCCCATACATTTTCCCTCCCTCTCTCCTCTCCCATACAATCTCTCACCCAAAATCCTCCCTCATACCCGCGTCTCTCTATACCTACTCGACACGTCTTTGTGGTGAGTACCTTTCTCTACGACGCGCATCACCAGAACCAGCACCACATACCCATTCTCTTATTCTTTGCCGCATCTGCTTGTGCGAATTGCGTCGCGTCAACTCTCCGATCTCGTTTTTATCTTTGTTGAAAAGCCTGATCATCTTGAGAGTTGCGCGCTGCTTCGTCACTCGCTCGCGTTGCATCATCTTCACCTTCGCCTTCTGCGCGCCCGTCTAAGCAAGCATTAGCTGACCGAAGCGCATCACAGTTGACGACAGCACCATCACTTTCTCGTTCTCAAATTCATTTCCAAGGTACGCGCCTTCCCTGGATTCAGCTTTTTCCTTGAACCAAACACGGATTTTCACGCGACGAGGAACGCAATTGCGTTTGCGCCTCATCCACCATCTCCTCAATCCACCTATTGCCCGAGCTTAGCTCAAGCTACCCCTCGTCGTTTGCATCGCATCAACCGCGTTGGCTCTTTCGGCTCTCTTCCCACCACACTTCCTCCATCACTTCACCTTTGCGCATTCCAAGTCTCGAGCAAGCTTAACTCACACTTAATCACAGAACACATCCAAGATGCCTAAGGCCGATGCTGGTAAGCGCGGAAAGGCCGTGAAGAAGCGAGGCAAGAAGGGTAAGGGTCCTGAACCACTCCCCATGTCTAACCAGGTGCCGTTATTGGCAGCTGCCGCATACACTCTCTATCGGCGCATAACCCAATGGCGTCACCTACGGTGAAGACTCTTAACAGACAAAGCTAACTTGCCCAGACCCCAACGCCCCCAAGCGTGGTCTCTCTGCCTACATGTTCTTCGCCAACGAGCAGCGTGAGAACGTTCGCGAGGAGAACCCCGGCATCTCTTTCGGCCAGGTCGGCAAGCTCCTCGGTGAGCGATGGAAGGCCCTGAACGAGAAGCAGCGTGCCCCCTATGAGGCCAAGGCTGCTGCCGACAAGAAGCGATACGAGGATGAGAAGCAGGCTTACAACGTACGTGTGACCGCTGGCGTGGAAGACTTCGTGGCTAACTATTGTGCAGGCCGACCAGGAAGAGGAGGAGTCCTCTTAGGCAGAGGCACCACGCTGAGAGGTACCAAGCGCTGATGAACGTGATGTGACTGGGAACAGTCGCCGCATTCAGTCGCATCGGAGATGCTCGCACTTGAGGTCCTCTCTTTCCTTGTATTTTGGTCTCGGCGGTGTTGTATGATGGCACAGGACGGGTGCTTTGCTTTTTCATTTTTGTTACCGGAAACTCAAAGGGATATGGTCGTTCGACGCGTTATTAAGGTCTAGAGGGCGGCTGGTCGAGCTGCATGCTCCCACTCGAACGCCCATGATCATGAGCATCTGATAATGAGCTCGGGTCATCAATGAGGAATAAGATGCTTGTACAAAGCATGGGAGCTTCGGCAACACGAAATATTTGATGTGCAAAATGCATGACAGCCAACGCCATTCCGAACCCATTTGGCACTGTGTGAGATGGACGTGAGGTTATGCATGATGTATGTAGATGCGATATGTGTTGACCTGGTGATAAGTGTGAGGCTGGCGTTGATGGTGAGACTCAAGTGACGGGTCGATTGAGGCCAGTGATGTGTGGCTGATGTGTGGCTAGTGGTGGCTTGCTGGTGGTGTTGAGATGAGCAGACGTGGAAGGCGCTTCGACTGACAACGCGGAGGTCAGGTATCCCTCGGTATCTAGCTTAGTGGCTTACCTACGATACTCAGACTATCCAACATCGATACCAATTCGCAATAATAATTGCCCATTGAGAGATAGAATTGATAGATGTATGTAATCTCTATGTTCTTTTGCCTATACTATATTTTTGTCATAATTGTATCGTATTTCAGTGCCTTGGAACAATGTTCAACTTGTCGACTCTTCAGGTACCGATAGTTGCAGGTTTTCGTATATACAAAGCGACACTTCTGCCCCCCACTGTCGACGAAGCGAGGTTTCGAAACACGCTTGGCTGGGTCGAGATCTCATCACCTCCATCACGTTCCGAAACCCAATACAACTATGCTTCTCGTCAGCATCGTCCAGAGGAACCACGTTGTCGTATCGAGTGAAGCAACCAGTCGCAGGGCGCAGAGGGTTGCGACCCAGCCAAGGGACAAGGAGTGAGAAGAGACAAGTGAGCTGCCACCCTCGGCCTCTTATACCTCTCACACACACACACACACATGACATGAAGGCTGTCATGACTCGGCTGTCATGGATGTGCAACCCCACGGCAGAGCGCGGCGAGAGTGGCATCATGTCGTGGCCGGCCGAGCCTCATGGCCAGGATGGCCCCCTTGAACAAGGCTCGAGCTTGAGCACGAGAGCGCCGTTGAGCCGACGACCTAGGATGGAGTGGAGTTTTGGCGTTGAGAAGCGCACGAGGCGAGGGACCTGCACCCCAGCACAGACGCTGTTCCCAAGCGCTTTGAAGGCGCTTTGAGGTCGTCGAGGGCCATTGCGATCTCCATCATCATCAGATTTCTCCACACAAAGTCCACCTACCGCGGATGCACCACCAGAGTCGCCGCCGTCGCAACACGTCGCACCTCGAATTTGAGTGGACGGTGGCCTCGAAGAATGGTCATCCTTCACCCATTTTCCCATTGTCTCCCCAGCGCCCAGTGCCCACCCACTCCCACCCCGATCTAGCCCAGTCGCCGGCCCCGAGCTCCTCATGCATTGGTCTGGCGTCATGTCGAGAGACGCTTGCTATCGTGGCAACGCCTGAGAAGTTGACTCGATGAGGCGCGCCAATTCCCCCAGCTCAGTCCGGCCATACACACTGCACAATTGGCCCCCCAATGTGTTTGCGTGTTGATGGAACCTCAAAAGTTGATGTCCCGCAGAGCTCGTCCTCGGGAAATGCGGGATATGGGCATCAGGTGGTCAAGACCCTTGTTTAGTTGGAGGACAAGACGAATCCCCAAAGAGCCTCCCGACATTACGTGCATCGACCTGATGGGCTCACTCATGGAGCACGATAAGAACCGTGCACCCACCGACCACGTCAGGGAAGGCCATGGGTATGGGTAGACTGGTGCGGGTGCACCCTCTGGATGGTGTTGAACAGATTGCCTGGCTCGCATCACACGTTTGTTGACGACCTGCATCGGCCGTCCCCTCATCTCCTATTATTTACACGTCTTCTTTTCTCTACCCTTGACTTGATCCTTGGTTCCTATCTAGAAATAGGATATCTAACAAGCCATCGATATTCATCAATCTCTCATACCCTCCATCTACTCCAAGTTACTTCGTTCCCCGACCCCACGACAACTTCCCCGCCGGCGAGCACCTCCTCCTCACCGCATTTGGTACCTCGATCGATTATTCCTCATCAGTATCAAGAAGCCACAAGGGCAACACTGGGAGGAAACAGGAAAACCACCATATACACCATTCACTCTAATACTCAACTCATCCTCATAGGATGAAATAACCCCTTCGACCATGGCCTCGCTTTCCCTCTCTCCTACCAACATGGAAATGGTCCCCAGTGGCCAGCTTGGGCTGCATCTACTTCAAGGCTGCCTACTCGAGGCACAGCGGGCAGACAAGGTTGCATTTCATCTCGTAGGGCTTCGCAATTCTCTCCCCGAAGCCCCTCACGCCCATCTGGTTGTCACTACCGAGGAGATCGGGGTCTCGGCCCAACTGCTCCGTGAACTCGCCGAGTACTCTCAGACCCATTTCTCTCGCGTCCCTGTCGTGCTCGATTATCTGGAAATCATCCTTCCCTGTCTGTCACGATCCCTGCGAGACATCACCACACACTATGAAGACAGAACTCTCACAAAGGAGAACCGTTGGCGGAAGATGTACCATTCCATGACACAAGAGGCGGGAGGTCTCTCACTACCCCAACGTTTCATCCTCTACAACCACTTCTTGACATTGTTGCGAGAGCTGCTAACCAGGTTGGCTCAAACATCGCCCAACGCTCGTGAATCCCATTCACTGACACCCGTAAGGTCACCAAACTTTGACTTCAACTCCATGGAAAGCGTTCGGTTGCAGATCATGCAACTACGAGAGGCTAGAGGCATCCGTAAGTGTAGACGTTCCCAACATAGACATGATGCTAATCATGAGAAGCCCCTCCTCCTATCCGTCTAAATCCTTCGATTCGTCCCGATGTCATACTAGACGACTCGAACCTTACTTCGGTTAGTTTAGGTTGAACACCTTGATAATCGGCAAATCTCTAACGGGGCCGTAGAGCGTACACTGGGCCGAGCAAATCTTTTCTCTGCCTCTGCCTTCCCGAACTGCACTCAAGCACCAGCATTCGTAAGTCCTCCATGTAACTCATAACGTGATCTGCGCCAACTAAGTATATCTAGATCCAAGTCATACGGTCCACATCTTCCCTGGAACCAAATCAGAATGCCTAGCGATGCAAGGGTTCTATTCATGCGGTAAGATCAGACCTCCCGCTTATACGCGACTATCCACTTACACGAACAGCCCGTTTAATGAACGACAAATAACCCTGATCGTCTATCAGAGCGCCCGAGATAGGTGCCCCTACTTTCTCCTACGGATCTATCACATGGGAAGTCCCTGGTTCTCACTCCGCGGCGCACATGAGCTCTGCGTTGAGCGTGATGGAAGCAGCTTGCAGTTCTGGCGGTGGAGCCCGAACGAGGGTTGCGCCAAACTGTGGGCAAACCTATGCTTCATGACTTGGGAAGGTATATCTCCCTTTCCATGATGGTTTTTGAGTTGTCTGGTAGCTAACTTGAAACAGAACTTGTTCTCATGTACTGCTGCTTTGTGTCATTCAAGACGCGCAACAGCCTCACTGTTCAAGTTGCTACAGAGGACCTCATCCTACGGGGTGAGCGCAAGTTGTTTCAAGCGTAAGCCTCAAAGCATAGTCTTTTTAATTACACAACTGACCATTCCAGTCGAATTGTCGATGACGGATTTATGCACTCCCTCATCGTCTACGAGGATACAATGACAAAGGGCCTCCGTCTCCACGCCGCTGTCTGGGACGGCGAACTCCGCCAATGTCCCGTGTGGACGGCATTCAGTAAGTCAAACCCCGGCTTCAACTACTAAATCTATTGGGTGGCTAACACTCGCAGTCACTCACCAGTCTGCTTCGCCGAAATGGATCAAGCGGGTCAGCAAGACAAAGGTACGGCTCGCCGACGTCCAGCTCTACGTCTTTTGCCAGGAGTATCGGCAGCAAAATCAGCGACGAGGTGCTGCTGGTGCCTTTGAGATTTGCTTCGTTAGCGAAGAGGGTAAGTTTAACTAATCTATTCTATCACATTTTCAGTATCCGAGCAATATCTCATACTTTTTCTTAGCAACGAAACGATTCAAGGAACTCTTTGCCCCGTCGACCGACATGAGCACAACGACAGCAACGGAAGCACCAGCAAAGACGGGCTAAGAAGATAATTCGCCTCTTACTACGTCCAAGATTGACAACCTACCTCTTGTATTTTTGTTTTCCTTCTCTTCTTCTACTTTTCTTCTTCATTCATCTTTATTTCTTCTATTCTCTCTCATCTACAGCGTTTGATTTCGATTCATCCTTTTAGCGACGGCGCCCAACGAGTATTTATTTCAGCAACGGTTTGACGGGTTTTTACGAGCAACGACCTACTTTACTTTTGTCCATCAAGAGTCACGGGATAAGATTGTACGATAGCCAGCAGGGCTTCACTTTTCTCCTTGGTCAGTTGGAAGGGCACGTCTCGTGTTTTTCGATATTGAGAATTGTTTCTTCCTTTTTCCCTTATATCGTGATGTCTGTCAGTTTGAGCTGCCGTATTCCTTGGTTCTCAGCACTCCCTCTGTTTTCGTCTCAGTTGGTTTGTCTCAAGAACGCTCAATTTGTCATATATATGCATGCATGCGAATAGCAATTTCAGAATCTCAGAATTATCTTTTACTTTGCTTCCATCTCTTTCGTCCAGCAGCCAGATGACCAGCTCTCGCGCTTCTCCTTTAGGTCTTGACATCGGGCTCGTCACGGCCAACATGCTCCTTGAACTTGAGCAGCTCCGTGGCGAACTTGACCTCCTCCTTCAGGAAGTCCTGAGCATCCAGTTCGTATTTCGAGGGGTCGCTAGTGTGCTGCTCGATGTACAGACGGATTGTGGCTCCCGAGGAACCAGTGCCCGAAAGTCGGACAACGATTCGGCTACCAGAGGAGAAACCGGCATACAGGCCTTGGTTGGAGGCCACGGAGCCATCGAGGTCCGTGTAGGAGAAGTTGCCAGCCTTGGTGACAGTGCGGCCTGGGGGTGTTAGTTAGGGGGGACAGTCAGTTAGCATCAGGATCTCACTCACCCTCAATGGTGCTGCCGACAAAGTTGGGGTCAGCAACGAGCTTGTCCAGCTCACCAACAACCTTGTTGGCGCCATCCGAGTCGACATTCTCATAGTCGTAACGGGTGAAGAAGGTACGTCCATACTTGGTCCAGAACTCCTTCTGTATCTCCTTGATCGAGGGAGTGACATCGGGGTTCTCGACACCGACACCGGCAATGATGTTCAGCCATGCAATGACAGCCCACAGACCATCCTTCTCACGGATGTGGTCACTTCCAGTTCCGAAACTCTCCTCACCACAGATAGAAAGCTTCTTGGCGTCAAAGAGAGCGCAGAAGAACTTCCAGCCGGTAGGCACCTCGTAGCTGTTGAGGCCCTGGGCCTTGGCAACGAGATCGACAGCACCGCTGGTGGGCATGGAACGAGCAAGGCCATTGACGCCGTTCTTCTTGAAGTAGGGGATGAGGTGAGCATAGTGGGCGATGATGGCCAGAGAGTCGCCAGGAGAAACAAACGCGTTGGCGCCGTAGATCATGTTTCGGTCGCCATCACCATCGGAAGCAGCACCGAAGGGGATGTTCTTCTTGTCGACAACTTCGACGAGGGAGTGAGCATAGGTGAGGTTAGGGTCGGGGTGGCCACCACCAAAGTCGGGGCTGGGCACGCAGTTCTGGGTCGAGTCAGACAGGCCGAGCTCCTGCTCAAAGATAGCCTTTCCGTAGGGACCAGTGACACCGTGGAGGCCATCGAAGAGGATCTTGAAGTCGGGGTGGGTGGAGAAGAACTTCTTGATCAGGTCAAAGTCGAAGATGTCCTTGAGCATAGCAACATAGTCGGCCGTGCTATCGAGGATCTCGACCTCGAGGTCGCCATAAGTCTGGGTGCCGACGGTAGAGATATCGATGTCGGGGATCGAAGCGATCTTGTAGGATGTCAAGGTCTTGGAGGCCTCGTAGATCTTGTTGGTGACGGACTCGGGGGCAGGACCGCCATTGGAGAGGTTGTACTTGATACCGAAATCGTTCTCGGGGCCTTGTAATTGTTAGAGATGTTAATGGAGGGAGAATCACGCATTGAAACCTACCACCAGGGTTGTGGCTGGCAGTCAGGAGGATACCTCCGGTAGCCTTGCGAAGGCGAATGACATGACTGGCAGCAGGAGTGGAGAGAATGCCGTTCTGGCCGATGACGAGCTTCTTGACGCCGTAGGCGGCACCAATCTTGGCAATCAGTTGGATAACCTCGGGGTTCCAGTATCGGCCATCGCCACCAATGACGAGGAAAGAACCTATCACATGGATCAGATCATGGCTCGTGTCGTCCGCAGTGGAGGACGATTCTCGGGTCCCGGCATAGCATACCCTCAACTCCCTCAGGGATGGACAGCAGGATGCTGGTGATGAAGGACTCGCTGTAGTGCGGCTTCTGGAAGACGACAACCTTCTTGCGAAGCCCGGAGCTGCGAGGATTACAGGTCAGTAGGGATTCTGATGAGCTGAGCAAGCGAGGGTGAATCTCGAGGATAAACAACAAGCCTCGAGCAGCTCTCGGGAGTAAACGGTGTGGGATGGAGAAGGTCGGAGCTCGCTCAATGGGTGTGAATGGCGGGGTTGACAAGATAGAGGGACAACGTACGTTCCGGGCTTCTGGTCCTGAAAGGGTGTGAACTCGACCGTCTGGACGCTCATGGCTGTAGGATACGAGGGCACAGGAAGAAAGAAAAGGAAAAGGTTTGTTGATTGTTGAGAAAGAGGAATGAAGAGGAGGAAAAGGTGGTGAGACTGAGACAGAACCCACCCGACGAACGGACACAACCTTTCTTTGGGCAAGAAGTGGCGGGGAGAGAGGAGAGGAGCTTCCAATCTTGGGGAGAGCTGTTTGTTGGTGGTGGTGGGGTTTGGAGGGGATGATATCACTTGCGCTAATGGAGGGGCGGCACAATTGGTACTGTGCTGTTCACATTGATCGTGTGCATTGCACAGTGTGGTACAGTAAAGTGGACGGAGTTCGTTGAGGGGCTCCTAGCGTGAAGAGCTCTCATGATGGGAGCCATAGCTTGTCCACTTGTCCTCCTTGTTCCAAGACTTTTGTGAGTAGATTATATTGAGCAGTCCATACACAGAACCATAGAGCCTGGGTGGCACCAAGATTTCTGCTGCCAATTCATGAGCTACAGCTTGTGTCATGTCATGTCCCTCATTGAGCTCCTCAACTAGCTCATGAGCTTGGCACGACAGCTCCCATGCTCACCGCACCAGCTCCAGAACATGAAAAGGACGAATACCCAATAATATACCCACCCATCTCGTCTAGGACTGCGCAGCCTTGGCCCCCTTGTTCTTACCAGCCGGGGCCGCGTCAAACGTCGGTCGAAAAATGACCTCCCGGTAGTATCTCGCCTCCTCGATGCTCTCCAAGATATCATCCCTAGCCTTGTGCCGACCCTTCTTGTTGGGCACCTTGTTGACGATCCTCTTTGCGCACCATCGTCTCGCCGCCTCCTTTATGGAGCTCACGTCGAGGATCCGGTGGTGCAGGTGCTTCATCACTTTGCGGTAGGGCTCCCGGCGGAGGAACGCCCGGTCGCAGTGCACGCTGTTGCCCGCCAGCAGGCCCCGACGACGGTCCGGGATGAACCTCGTCACGTAGTCGTACAGCGCCGAGGCCGCCTCCTCCGGCGTCGTGGTCGAGGCGAGGACCGCGGCGGTGAGGCCAGAGTCGGCGTGGGTCTTTGTGCACCAGTCATCCATCTGGTCCAGGCGGGACTGCGGCCAGTGGATGATGGCGTGGAAGCCCTCCTCGTCAAGGATCTCGAGGTTGCCCGTGGTGATTATGCAGTAGATCTCGAGGATCTCATCATTGTCCTGGTCGAGACCAGTCATCTAAGTGAGGCATGTGAGCATGAGATTCGCAGTTTATCTGCAGCCACCAAGTGCAACGTTGAACTCAAACATACCTCACAGTCGATCCAGACGAGGGGATCATCGCTGGCGCTCTTGGGCTGGTTATCAGCCTGACCTTCTACCGTGGCCATAATTCGAAGTTTTCTCTTTTCTTCTTCTGGATGTGGACGATTGCATGTAACCTCCAAGGCTTCAGTCGCTAGTAGTGGATGAGCTTGCAGCAGTGGAGCATTAGCAGAGCCCACTAACAGCCCGTGATTCAGCGTCAAACCGACGCGCTGGAACGTTGCGTATTCTTAATTCGCGACCCCTCATTGGCTTGTTTGATGCCATCTCACCAACTGCCGGATGTTGTTGACAGCTCAACTCGAGAGATACGGCAGGTTATGAAGCAAGCCATTGCATATTGCATGTCCCAATTATCACTATCCAACGTATTTTGCCTGCCTGCGACTGTTGCCTGAATACAACCGCCAAAAAGTCAGGTGTCGGAGGCTTGCATAAGTTCATTCTCACAAGGCAGACGTTTAATCTCAGCAACCTCGACTTATATTAAACGGCATACTCGACTCACAAACCATCTACGAACCTACACAATCTCATTCACAATGGCTTCAATAAAGAAAATGATCTCTAAACTCACAACATCCGAAAAGGAAGAGACCGTCCCAGAACAGTCTTCATTCAGTGTCATACCCCCTCCAAAGCCCGACATGTCGGAAACCCCTCCTCGCTTCCTCATCATCGGTGCCGGCTCGCGAGGCCGCAACTACGCAGAGGCCATTGACAGCGTCACCAATGGTGTCGTCGTAGCCGTCGCAGAACCCCTCAAGTTCAAGCGAGAGACTCTGGGCCGCCGCCACATCTGGGGTGACGGTGAACCTGGTGAGGGCCAGTCGTTCCTGGACTGGCGAGAATTTCTCGAGTATGAACAGGATCGGCGGAGGAGAGCTGCTGCAGGCGAGGAGAACGTCCCTGAGGGTGTGGATGGAGCCTTTGTGTGCGTCTTGGACGAGATGCATCGCGAAGTCGTCGTCGGCTTGGCACCCCTTGGGCTTCACATCATGTGCGAGAAGCCCCTCGCCTGTTCTCTCCAGGACTGCCTTGACATGTACAAGGCTCTACGTCCCTCGCGGGCTTCCAAGGTCTTCTCTATCGGTCACGTCCTGCGGTATAGCCCTCACAACATGATGCTACGCAAACTGCTTCTCGAGGAGCACGTCATTGGCGACATCCTAAGCGTTGTCCACACCGAGCCCGTGGGCTGGTGGCACTTTACGCACTCATATGTCAGGGGCAACTGGCGCAGCGAGAAGACTACGGCGCCCTCGTTGCTAACCAAGAGTTGTCACGACATTGACCTTCTACTATGGCTGCTTTGCTCCCCTGAGAAGGCAGGGCAAGGAGAACCTCATCTTCCTGAAACCGTCTCCTCATCTGGCAGTCTCCAGTTCTTCAAGAAGAGCCGCAAGCCAAAGGCTGCGGGGGGTGCCACCAACTGCACAAAGTGCCCCTTGGGAGACGAAGGTTGCAAGTACTCAGCCAAGAACGTCTACCTCGGTCCCAAACTTCACGGCCTGGGGGCGGGCAACACGAGATGGCCCATCAACGTTGTCGTCCACGACATCGAGGACTACCCCTCGCAGATAGCCAAGGAGGAGGTCATGACCCAAGCCCTCGAGGAAGACTACGATGAGTCTACTCCCGAGTCCGAGGTCAAGTCCCGCAACTGGTTCGGTCGATGCGTTTTTGAGTCTGACAACGACGTCTGCGACGATCAGGTCGTCACCATCACCTGGCCAGAGTCCAACAAGCCAGCCAAGATGGCAACCTTCCACATGGTCGCCCAGACCAAAAAGATCTGCCAGCGCTACTCGAACATCTACGGCGAGCATGGTGAGATCTACGCCGACTCGGCCAAGATTGTCGTCGAGGACTTCAACACGGGCAAGACGCACACATACCGACCAGGCATCGAGGACCGCGGCCACGGCGGTGGTGACTTGGGCCTCACACGCCAATTTGTCATGGCATGCGATCGCGTAAAGAACCACGGTTGGGAGGCACCTCGGGCTCAAGACGAGTTTATCGGCTGCACTCTCGACGAGGTCCTACGCAGCCATGCTATGGTGTTTGCCGCCGAGGAAGCGAGACTCGGCCGCAAGGTTCTCGACTGGGAGCAGTGGTGGAAAGAAGCTGTTGGTGAACAGTTGGATCGTGGCGAAGCATAGACCCGCATGAAGCTGAGGCACAGAGAGAGATCGGATGAAAACAACATGGGATGAAAAAATTACTAGTCTATAATTGTCAGTTGTTGGTTGGTTCATTCGTTGGTTACAAGATAGATTGACGATCCGGGATATTGGATGGAATATTGACTGGGATATTGGGCATTATAATATTGGGTCTCATGAACTAAACAACCCCAGATACGACCGCGCTAGAAACGAGGTATAATACAAATTCATGCAATTAATAACCATGCAATCCATTCGACTTGACTTGTCTTGCCTTCATGTTCCATTCCCTCGTCTTCCCAGAAAGGCAACCAGACTCTTATCAGTCACCTTTGAAATTCCACCTCTTGACGTAAAAAGAAACCCTCTTCGCTCCCACGATACCAGTGGCCAGGCTCCTAACCAAGCTCAGCGCGGTTGTTCTCGTTACCGACGGGGTTGACGGCAGGCAGTTCCTGAGCCTCGTGCTGCTGGGGCGCAGGGGAATGTGTGTTGTGTCCAACGAAACCAGGCTCGCCCTCCTTGGGACCGGGGCTGGGTGTGATGCCGCCAGGAGGAGGCGAAGTTGACTGGGCAGGCTGGTAACCACCGGCACCGTATTGAGCGGGGTACTGGCCCTGCTGGCCATAACCTTGCTGCTGGGGATACTGGTTCTGGAAGCCCTGCTGCGGTTGGGCGTAGCCACCGTAGTTTTGAGGAGGAGGAGAGTAAGCCTGCTGGCCGTAGGCGGCAGCCGCATTGGGGTCGTAGGGCTGTTGGTAGCCGGGCTGGAAGTTGGAGGGCACACCTGACGGGTAGGCAGCGTTGGACGGCGATGAAGGAACAAAGCTGGGACCGGGGCTTTGAGGGTTCTGGGGGTTCTGAGTCTGGGCCATAGCGGGAGCCACAGGAGGGGTGCCGTCGGAGGGAGGAGTCGTTCCGGGAGATGTCTTCTTGTTGCGGCGACGGAACAGGAGGAAGCCAGCGAGACCAACAAGACCAAGAGCGGCGACACCACCGACAGTGCCACCAGCAATGGCACCGACATTGGTGCCGCCGCCGCTGTCGCTGTCGTCCGTGGTCTGCGAGGGAGATGGGTCGACGGTGACAGTAACGTCCGAGGCGTCAGTTCCAGTAGCGGTACCAGAGGCAGTAGTATCGCTCGCGTCGTCGGTGGTGCTCGATTCGCCGTCATCGGTCGCGGAAGACTCACTATTGCTGTTGGTGGTGGCCAGGGGGTCGGAGAAGAACAGGCTTCCAGTGCCCGAGGTGACGGAGCAGGCCAGGACTGTGAAAGACTCGCCCTTGCTCGTTCCAGTCAGGGTATAACAGGCGGGGAAGGCAGAGGAGCCACTGTTCGTGTTGGTTAGCAAAGAGCCATACGAAGAAACACAACCTTGGCCAAATTGCCAAGCATCAGAGAATCAAACGTACCAGCACATGGTCTGGAAGTCGTCGAGGATGTCGCAGTCACCAGCCGAAGAAGCCTCATAGTCGATACACTTGGTCTTGATCGCATTGCAAGATCGCCCAGTCTCACAGCAGCCAACGAATCCGGCATCAGAAGCGCAAGAAGCGTCACTGGAAACGCAGGTGAAAGAGTCTGTAAAAATGGCATGTTAATGACTTGGTCTTGGTGACTGTGTTAGATGCCCTGGTGTATCTCGTTCGAGGTGAAGCGCTTGGATATCTCGCCAGCGCTACATAGATAGACACTCGTCTAACCGCCTTCGAAGAGCTCAGTCAGGTTTGAATGGTGTCAACTCACTTCCTAGTGATCCCCAGCCGCACGTCTGGGACAACTCAGCTCGCTTGCCCAGGGCAAAGCGCATATCCATGGCACCAGAGAGTCTGGGCGCGTTGGTAGGGACAGGCGACCATCCAATGGCCATCTGGTGGTCCTCGCCAGCATCTGCGCCCAGGTGGCCCGTCTGTACTGGGGCATCGAGCGTGGAATCGGCAGCCGGCTTGAGCCAGGCGGCAGTGGCAGGTGAGCCAAGGGCTCCCAGAGCCAAAAGGGCAGCGGAGTGATACATTGCGCTGAACTTGTATAGCTTCTCCAAGCTCCGGTTTGGGTTTCGAGTTGGCGATGTGTTGGGCGAAGCTTTCCTCCCTCTCTTCCGAGTTCCTCTCACTCAGTAATTGCAATTGTTGTCGACAGCAGTGAATAGGGGTCCGCCGATCCTTGGTGTGAGTGAGTCCCTTCCTCCGCGATATGTTGAAGCTGTCCGACACTGATTCAAGCGGGACGCTTTGCCAGAGGGTCACGACAGGCAGGTGAGCGAGATGTGCAGATTCCAGAAACCAGAGGTGCGGCAGAGCAGGGATCAACGGGGGTTTTGTTTCTCTCTCTTTGGCTTGTCTCTCTCTGACTCTGCCTAGGAAGGTTGCCGGGCCCTTCGTACATGAGCAGCCCTCTGTGGGCGGCGGCGCCTTGAGTGCAGCCCAGCCCAGTACATGTGGTGCCAGAGTGATACAGGGACCCCGGATCAGCCTAGCGGAAAGTTCAATGGCCACAGGGGACTCGTGGGTGCTCGAATTGGGCGCCTCAGCCCCTGCTAGCCCTGCTCTAATCCTGGCTAGGTGGCGCTGCTGGGTGACATTTATTGGCGCCAGCAGCCTTAGCGTCTAGAGCTGAAAAGCCAGCCGTCCTCATTGGAGCTCTGGACTGAGAATGGACCACCGTCTCCGGGGCCTCTGCGAGAGTCGACCCAGAAAAAAAACAGCTCAACCAGTTCACATGGTTCTGCGAATCTCAACGTTGCTGTTCCACTATTAGACAATGGAGATAAACTCATGGCGGGGAAGGTACCTTCTGCCGATGCAATACCGTATCCGTACAGTCATGACGATGCTTGCCGTTGACATTGTGTAGCTTGGCCATCTCATCTAAACCTCCATCGTCTCTTGCAGACGAAGCATCGTCAACGGAGAGAGCAGCTTCCGGTGGAGCTGTTGACAACTCCGCTGGCCGGCGATGGGGGCTTGCTGACTGTATCTCTCATTTGACGAGCACCGACACCCTCCAGGGCTCAGCCCAGCGAGGTACCCCGTCGGGGACTAAGACCTCGATCATGTTGGACATGCCAAGTGATGCAGCGGAGTAGCGGACATCGGCAGGTAGGCAGTATCTGTACGGAAAGATATGCCTCTTGTTCCTAGAGGGCTGCGCCATCCCCGAGTATGGCCCAAGCCAGGTCTTTGCCGCTGTCCGTTGCTTGGGCTTGTTTTCTTGAGGAGGCGCATGAGGCTGCGTTCTGGAACGAGGTCAAGGGGCCGCCGACGATCGATTTGAAGGGTGCCATTTTTGGATGCCCTCCATGTCGCTCACTTTTCTGGTACTGTGTCGTATCGTGTCAGTCAGGCGTATTTCATGTCGCTGCTCTGGTCAGTGACGAGAGAGTGTATCTGTGTGCACACTTTCGGCCCTGTGATGCAACTGTTCCTGTGCGTTTGGAGTCAAAACATTGTCCATGCGCTTCCCCTACAATGTCAATAATAGCTAATATTGCTTGAGGAGGCCGTCTCTGATGCGGGTGAGTGATTGGTCGCTGCTTACTTTGTCGGCCGCCCACCCCTCATATTTCGTCTCTCCACCATCATGCCCGGCCTACCAGCAGCAGCAGATTGTTTCTCAGCCCAGGGCCAACATTGGTCCCCGTTTACGAGGGTTTGCATGGCGCGCCGTTTGCTCTGATCCATATCCTCGCAGCAAGGCAGCGCAGCCTCCCGTTCTCCTTGCTTGTACTTGATGTCGACTCACAGGCTAACAGGCGTCCCCTGTTCATCTGTTGTCGCCCGGCTGCAGTGATTCTGCTGATCGTACCTAATCGAGGCAGCACGGATTTTATCGGTCAAGTAACACAGCTCCAGGGCATGGATTCGTGGTGCGGGTAGCCGACCTTGTTGCTCCTCTCACTGTAGGTTCTCACTGCTGGACTGCTATGTGCGGCTCAAGCAGCCTCACCGTTGCACTTTGGTCAGCATCTTCACCGCTGAAGACTCTAGGCGGACAACACGAGCGCCCCCTGCCGAGACAACGTGTGGACGACTGTGGCCCGCCGTCCGAGACAGCAAAACCATGCATTCACGGGCGAGGGATCGCTGGCTGATTGCTCATATCCCAGAGGCATGGGCAAGGAGCCCAAAATCGCAAAGCTCCTTGAGCCGGTCCGCCGCTAAAAGCTGACACTGCCTGGCGGCTCGGGGCACAGTTGACCCGATGGCGTCTGAGTGTCGATTTGGGCCCTGATGAAACCGTAGGGCGGACCATTCCCGCTCCAGTGTGGCCTTGAGAGGCGGAACTAGCAGGGCAGAGGCGAAGGGGAAATTTGATGGTGGGCGGGCGTCGGCAGCTTGCCCGTCCACGGGTTGGCTGGTTGACCGCATGAAATTGATGCAGGCGAAGGACTCGAGTGGGCGATGAAGGATTCAAGTGATGTGGACTTGGAATGGGGGCTGTGGAGAGCCGATGCATGGATCTTATCCATGAACATTGAACTGGGGGAGGTGCATCTTCCACATTCACTTGCCCAATTTATGTGGGACTGTATAAAGTGCATCGAGTTACCCTACAACTCACTGTGATCCGTGGATTTGACGTTACTCATGGACTTTTCGGCATCAGCTACTCGGTGATTCTCAGACGTTGTAGGGTTGTACGTATTGGAATTCGTTGGCATTGGGCTTTGTTGCATTTCAGCGGCTGAATAAGGTACAATGTTGGTCGTACGTTGGTGGAGTTATGAACCTGGTAAATCGTTGAAGCGACTGACAAGCCCTATGAACAAGTTCGGCACTTCCTCCCACTTGACGAGAATCACATCTTAAGCCTATTCCGGCACCTGTTGGAACGAACTCCTTGTCACATCGAGGCGACCAAATACTTTTCCTCTTTGCCATCTCGGCTGTTCACACCTATCCAGGGTCCTGACCGGCCTGGTTGGCCGTTACAGGAAAGCCTCGCACTTAGCAACAAGGCAGACTCGGCCAACCAGCCCAAGGACTCATTCAGCCGGGTTATCTTGGTTAATCAACTTGCGGTGACAGCGCGGCTAACAGTTTGACCAGCACCCCATGCCCTCTTTTTATCACCAGGAACGAGCAAAGTCATCAAGGTCTCCACGGGCTTGCCGAGCCTGACAAACGAAACCCTCAATGGCCTTACACAATTCCTTCATTTCCTTGGCATATGGATACATGGCAGTTCAGTTTCAGCCTTGCCAATTTTCTCCCCCTCCCTTGGCGTGATGGTAAAATGGGACGTTTAGCGAAGGGGGGCCCGGTACGGGTACGTACCTGCTGAAACACGATGGAACCCCGGAACGGGCAGGCACCTCATCCGAATCCGGAAACAGACGCGGGATCGGTCTGCGGGACCCTGACCCCCCCTCTCGCTTAGTGATACACATGCTTACCCAATCTCTAAACACCACCAAAGTCCTGTGCAAACTCCACGGAACTCGGTGATGTGTAATGCTCGCGATGGCTTCAGATGATGGATCTTGGGAGGAGGATTTCGATGTTGACTAATGTAGCAGATGGATGAAATGGAAGAACGCAATTGGCCTGTTTATTGACATCCACTGTCTAAGTTGACGTCCTATTGGTTGACTCTTCATGTCACCGTGAGTTCACATAGAATGGAGTTCCTCAAGATGTGATTTTGGACAAGTATAAAGAGCAAGTGTTCTTCTGCGATTACAGAGATATAAGAATCAGAAAGACACATAAAAACCGCAATAAACTAACAAGTTACAAAAACCAAGCACTCACACAGAACACACTACACCCAAGTTCACAGCCAACAACAACCATTTCACAATGTCTTCTCAACCCAAGCCCCTTCCTCCCGTCAAGCGATACATCACCACCCATGACGCGGAGGGAAACGCAACCTGGGATGAATCTGTCCCTCTCGAGGTCGAGGAGCAGCGCAGCGGCGGCTTCTCCATCCACTCATCATACATCCACCCGGACAACTCTCACGATCTCAACAGCGGAAACGACTTCAAGGCTTACAGGGAGCACCCATATGAGAAGGATCTCGCCCCAGAGTCTGGATCTACCCTTCGAGTCGTTGACTTCTGGCCTGGCTTCCCGGCCGTCATGCACCGAACCGCCAGTATCGACTATGGCGTTGTGATGGAGGGCGAGGTTGACTGCGTCCTCGACAACGGCGCTACCAAGACTTTCCGGAGAGGGGATATCATAATTCAGAGGGGAACCAACCATGCCTGGAAGAACTCGGGCACTGAAGTGGCTCGTGTCTGCTTCACGCTTCTGCCTTCGGCCCCCATCAAGGTCCATGGCAAGGAGCTTGAGGTTCATGGCATGGCTGATCTGGGAAGAATCGCAGAGGAGGCAAGCAACATTGTGTAAGAATGTATTAGGAGAACCCACCAAATCATTATCTTTGCCTCTTACCGGGCCTAGCCAAAATGCGTGGCCATGAATCCAACCGAGACTTTTGCTCTATGCATTTTCTGTATCCCCCTGACCGTTGAATCCAAAGAGGCACCCAAAACGCCATTTTAATAACCCCTACCAACCGTCTAAAACCCGAAATTTATCTTGCGCAAACTTGAATGGGAGTGGTCGTTGTAGTCCTGTCATGATATCTCCCAGCCTGGTGTCGTCTGCCTCTGAGACAAGCCCCTTGCGGACCATAAAGTCAACCATGACAAGCCCACAGTTAGGTTTCCATTCTAGAGAATGGAGGCTCTTCTTGACCTCGTCCACCGAAAGAGCCTCAAACCTTTCGATACCACGCTCCTCGGCATGCGGCTGAAAGGTTGTGTCGACCCTGAGATCATACACGAAGCGGACTCCAGGCTCCAGATGACCCTCGTTCATGAGACCTGCGTTGCGGTCCTTGCAGTCATAGAAGGTGATGGCAGGAGCCTGTTCGACTGAGCCAACCAGTCTTCTAGTGCTATCCTCTTGGCCCATCAAGACCTCTCTGGTGTTGAGGTCGATATGTAAGCCCGCCTCTTCCCGTGCCTCTCGTTTCAGGGTGACGCACGGGGACAAGACTCCCGATACTCGATCAGTTGGATCCATGCCGCCTGCGACAACCTGATCCAGCATACCCGAGTAACTAACATTAACACCCTTGGCCCGATGCGAGACCCAGATGCGGTCGACGCTCTCCCTGCCGTCCACCTGCTTGACGGTGTAGACGTTGAGGTGGACTCCCACCGTGACAACCCCGAACAGCCCTCGGATAGGTAGGGGAATGGTGAGATCTTGCCGTGTGCTATCAGCAACATGCAGAGGTTGAAATTCTCGCCGTGGCACATCCTTAGCGAGCCAACCGTCAATGCAGTTGTTGAACCGCCCGCGGTTCAGGAGACATAGGTTCGAAAAGACTCTGCAACATGCCGTTGCAATGTTCTCTCCTGATTGAATCTTGGGGTTGAGAAGGATAGTCCGTGTGTCTTGGTTCATGGTAAAGTTCTCATCCCATATCATGTCTCGTTGAACGTCGTCCCTCATATAGCCCACAACTTCATCGATGCCCTGAATGTAGAACGCCCAGACTTTCTCCAAGTCCACGGCATCGATCTTGTTCCCCTGCTGAACGACTCCGTAAAGCGAGGTCATATCGAGAGAGTGAGAGGGGGTTCCAGGATATATGAGTTCTGCTGCAGAGTGGTTGAGGCATGAAGATTGAGTAGCCTCACCCGAGGGCTTGGCCAATCGTGTTGAAGCCATCATGACTCGCGTGAGCATCAAGTTCCCAACCAGGGATTTAGGAGCCACAGGAGAGGTCGTTAATGAAGGTATTCTCAGAGGAGAAGAGAGTGAAGATGTAGGATTCAAAAATCCACACGAGGTCGGCTTGGGCAGGTAGTTATACCAGTTCCTGGTCCGTGAACCAGGCATGGACGGGCAGGTGCTCATGTCATGGGCGATTGCGTCTGTACCGTTGTGGCCACAGGCTTTTGCTCTTGTCATTGACCGAAATGTTTATTTCCCGCCATTTCCCTCTCCGAGATTCGCGGTGGAATCCGCTTTGGTACTGCATCCCGTCCATCCGTGAATCCTTGACCGAGCTGAGGTTGTCTCTCTGTCTCTCTCTCTGCAGGCGGCTCTGTGGTCCTCCCCTCCACTGTAGACAGGTAACTACAGCAGGCCTCTCCGAGTCATGAGGACGAAGGCTGTACGACAGGCGGGCCGCGTAGGTTGCTCACGCACGTTTCGAGTCGTGTTGGTTGTTGTTCAGCGTTGATTGTCTGGAACACACATGGCCGTGTAGAGCTGAGCTGGGTGCCCTGAGCGAAAACAAGGCCAAGCAAATGCACATGATGCGTGCGTCTGTAGCGTTAGGTTACTACATGGAGCACACGCCAGAGGAGGACGTCTCACCAAAAAAAAAAAAAAGTGTTAGCTGCTGAATTTACGGCGGGTCAACCAAGCTTGACCGCCCGCTTAATGGCATTAGTTCTTCCGTCAATTACAAGGAATCAAGGACGATCTTCTTTTCTTCTTTTCTCATCGCAATTCAATTTGTCAACTATGTACTGTACTGTACTGTACTGTACTGTACTGTACTGCACTGTACTTGCAACGACCGTGTCCCCCTTGAGACCATCATCTCTTGGCTCTGGGTACCTATCATGACCAATTCCAGTGGTCTTTGTACCGGTAGAGCGGTCCTCGCCGGGACCTCGTGTCGTCAAGTGTCTTTGGGTGACACTACATGGAGGTAAAGCAAAGCATCCAATCCCTTGATTCCCATATTGTCATAGTCCTCTTGCGCCTTTGTTCCCTTTCCCTGTCCCTGTCCCTATCCCTATGCCTTTCCCAGTTGAATTTCCCTTGGTATGTCCAATTTACATGCTCGTTCGTATCGTCATTTCAATTTCCCTTTGCCTCTCTTACACGCAGACGTCCTTGACCCGGCCCATTAGAGCTTGGCGTGTCCAAAACTCAATGGGCAGCAGTATGTCGAGTGACTGCTGGGCCAGGATACGTCGCCGCCTTGGCAAAGGGACTCTCGTAGAGACTCGTGCCGGCCGAGGCAGCAGCAGCAGCGGCGACGGCGGCGGCTGTGGACGTGTCCTCGATGGCCTGCTGTGCGAGTACCGGTGTGGAAAGGGTCGTTGTCGCGGTACAGACGTTACATAGCTCCATCTGAGGTTCGGGTGTGAGGCAGTAGAAGGGGCTCGAGCATTTACGAGCGCAGCGGGTAAAGTCGATGACCGTCTCGCCGAGACTACGGTGGCAGACCTTGCACATCCGCTGAGCGATTACGGTATGGCACATGTTGAAGGTAGTAGTAGTAGATGTGTAGTCTGGCGTCTAGGTGTGGTGTCGTGGAGAGGAGGGATGGTAGTGGAGTAGATAGAGAGGGGAGAAGAGGCTACCTAGGTAGGTAGGCAGTGAGGAATAGGGAAATAGTAGTAGAAGCTGGGCTTCAAAAAAGTGTTGAACTCCTGATTGTTTAGTTGTTTTGTAGCACAGATAGAAAGAGGCCTCGCTGCAGTGACAACGTAAGCATCATGGGGCGCAGTGGCAATCGTTGTCGATGAGAGAGGCTTATATGCGTTTGCCAGGCACGTATGGATTGGGTTGGATGGATTGAGAAAGAAGAACAACAGCCTTATCTGACCAAGGCGCAAACAAAGAGGCGACTTCTTCAAGCCAAGGGGGCTTTGCTGTTCCTTTTAATGTCCCGCAGACAAGTCAAGGTTCAGGAGTGTTTGGGGGCAAAGAAACGCACGTACAAGTGACTGCTACATGACGCAGACCAAGTCTGAAGGAGACTACCAACAGTACAGTGTCAACCCAGGTAAAATTACCTTTTTTCAAAGGGCCAGAAAAAAAAGGGGAGTCGAGACGCCTTGAGAGGGAGCGTGTGTCACCACACAAAGCCATCATCTGACCGTTTCACCTGGGCTTGGAGCCAGGGGGAAGAAGAGCACAAGGAGCCAAGATGAGGCAGAGAATCACAAACACGGACAAGCGGCCGGTAGGCATGGGGAATAAGTGGGTGTGAGAGGGCCAGCGAATTTGCTGGCCTCACTGCTACTGTAGAAATGTACAGTATGGCACTGTACAGTTAGCCGCGGCGGGAGTGGCCAACCCAAGGCTGTCCTGTCACGGAGAATGTGATTTGAGGTGTTTGTTGTTGTTCAAGGCGTGCAAAAGTGAGAGAGAGTGTGTGGGATGCCAAGATGATGCATTTGTGACCATTGGAACCTTCCCCGCATTACGCCAGCCGCGAAAAGAAAAGGGTTAAAAAAGTACCTCGCTCTAGCACTGGACCGACGGAATTTACCTTGAGGCTATGGACCTCATGCAAGGACTTTCCCTGAGGCATGCCATCGCCATTAGGCCCGATGAGGCGCTGGCTGCCGCTGCTTTGCGGGGAGGCACAGCGACAAGATAAGCCAGCCCCAGGGCACGGTGTGTCCGGCGCCCGGGTACAATACTGTGCTGTAGATGATGGTGCTGGATCGAATGGAGACACTCTCATGACGACACGCGTCCCGGCCCGTCTCTCCAAGCTTACCTCTGTTCCTCTATCACCCGGGGCTCGGGCTCGGGCTCTAATCGCGGGAAACACCTCCGACTGGGTCAAAGTCAATTGGCTCACCCGGAGCTTTGACGGCTTCCCGCTTTGTTTGGCAACGGCTTCATCACAATCAAGTCTCTCTGTGTTACTTCTCACGTCACGGCTCGATCATCGGGGCGGGCTTATCTCTGGCCAAACGCTGGCAACTGTCTGCCTTGCCTATCCATGAATCTCATCGCCGAGCTGAATCATACATGTCTGTCCCTTGCTGACCGTCAAACAAACGGGATGATGTGAGACAGGGGACGCCGGCTGGGCGCTGAAAATGTACATACAATATGCGCGCCCTCAAACAGGATCGGCAATGATACCAGTTGTGGCCGGCTGAATATACTCTCCGTTCCAGAGGGTACCATCTCGATCACGTTTCACAGAAACGTGCCTCTCATCCCATCCATGTATCTCTTGTCCACCTCGTCAGCGTCCTCCCCAGCCTCACCACCCTGCATCCTGCGCTCGAGGTTCTTCCCCCCGTCGCGAGGCCCAACAAAGTATCTCAGCTTTGTAGAATCCTCCGTAGCCGCCGTCCAAATCGTCATGGCCGCCTCGGACGCCGCCATGCTCTGGCCCCGCATGGCGCCGAACCGCTGGAGCGTCCTCTCGACAAAGGCGCCGTATCTCCCCTTGATCTCTGGCGTCATCTTGTCCAATCCTGCCATCTGCATCGACGTCTGCCCAAAGTTGGTCTCGCTGATGCCGCCATGTGGACAGACCAGCTTCACCCGGATAGGGGGGTTCACACCCTCCATCTCGTACACCAGCGACTCCATGAAAATGTTCATGGCTGCTTTGCTGGCTCCATAGGGTCCGATGAGTGGCAGCCCAAAATGCCCTCCGCCTGACCCAACATAGATGATACGGGAAGGTGATTCTACCTGACTTGTCGCGCGCATGTGAGGGATGAATTCTTTGATGAGGCCCATGGTCCCTGATCACTCGTCAGCATGCAGCCCTCCGCCATGATGCGGATTGTAACAGCACCATACCGAAAACGTTGACTTCAAAGTTGTGCCGGATGGCATCAATGTCAAGTTGCTCCAAGACGCCGTATTGGCCGTATCCTGCGTTGTTGACAAGGACGTCGATCTGGCCAAACCTTCCGGTAGCTCCCGCGATGGCTGGCCCAAAGGTCTGGGCCTTGGACAAATCAAGGTACTGGACTAGGAGAGTTCCCGATCCCTCGTCCAACGCTTGGAGGGCTGGGGAAGACGTATCTCGAGCTGTAGCTGCAACGTTCCAGCCCTTCGAGAGAAATAGCTTGGTTGCAGCCAAACCAACACCAGAATTCGCGCCAGTGATGAATACTGTTTTTGCCATGATGCTTGAGATGTGTCCTTGGACCTGACGATATGTGGTCATTCTGCCGGCCCATGGCCCTTTAAATCCATATAAACGGCCATAGTATCTCATGGAGAAAGGAGTATTATCTCATCCACGCCCAAATATGAATCCACCTTGGTGTTTTTACACTGCTGGCTCACCTCAGCCACTTGGCTGAAGCCAAGGAGATTGGCTTGCTGAATACGTCACGACCCATCGAGACAGTCCGAAATTCGAGGAGATAAAGGCGCCCATATTGTGGGCTAATCAAGAGAAGGAGCTTTATTTAAGTCCTGGTTTTCGGACAGGCCCAACTCGGGTAGGACGGAAAGGAGTGGGTTGCTCAAGTCAGCCATTGTCGTCGGTGGATTGTGACGTATGAGGTGAAGCGATGAGCTAGCTTGAATTCATGAACCGCAACGTTCGCGGAGAAGACCAGTATTGAAAGAAATAAAGTTTTGATTTCCCTGGGTGTGTTGATGGAACAAGATGTCGAAGTTGGCGCTCACTGAAGAGCTTGTAAGAGCATTGTGGGGACTGTTAGGGTCAGGTTCGTCAGGTATTGAGCTGTAAACCATAGGCTTCTATGAGTGAAAGAGGAGTCACATCTACTGAAGCCTTTTCATTCCATGTAATTACGATGATAGAAAATAATAACTTCCTTGACGTCTGATTAACTCAACGTTGTTGATTCTTGACCCATCTTGCCGTTAAACAGCTAAATTACCAACTTCCAAGACATGATTGGTCAACGGCTGTGCAGCTACCTTACGTAATTCGGGATGAACCCGCGGACCGGCGACAACCTCATCCGGTGGATTTGGATGGGCTTCTTCCCACGAGGAACACACGATCAATCGCTCAATTGAACGCCGCCCATACCGCCCAACATGCTCGCCGCACGACAGAGGGCAGCCTGCGTGGCCCGACAGCTGCAGCGGACAGCGCGGACCTACGCTTCCGAGGCCCACGGCCACCACAAGCCCGCCGAGGTCAACGAGTCGTTCAGCGTACGTCAAAACACCCGCAACGCCGCCATCACGTCTTCCACGGTTCACTCGCGCTTCCCGGATGGGGCCAATGGCAATCTCACATGCTGACCTGACCTGCCCTTCTAGACCGGATCTCTCCTCACCGTTGGCGCCTTCTTCGGCACCGTCCTCGTCTACCAGTTCGTCCCCAAGGAGGGCGACAAGTCTTTCTTCCTCAGCCTCATCGACAAGTACCAGTCGCGCGCCAAGGACTGGGAGGAGATCAACGCTCTGCACACAAAGGCCGCGGAGCAGGCTGGCTTCGACCGAAACCTGTTTGAGAACGGTGGACACAAGCACCGATTCGTCGATGTCGCATACCCTGAGTTCGCCAACCCCTCCTGCCCCTACTCTTCGACGACATGAGCAACAAGGAGGAGAGAAGTCACATTCAACAATTGCTAACAAAAGAGGCAGGGCCATTCAGTCTTACTCTCCCCGAAACAACCAGGCTGGCTATCTTGCCAACATGGACTACGTGGTTGCGCACTTCCGACAACAGCACCTGGAGGAGGAGGAGCGGAAAGCGAAGAAGCTGGCCGCCCAGAAGCAGGAATGAGGGGATGTACATTAGAACGTGGACCGGCACACATGAATTCATTTCTCATTCAGTCAGGAACAACTGCTCACTTCGCAACTGCTTATTTGTCGTGTGTCGACGGTGTTGCTGCTTCCCCTATTTCAGAAGGCAAGTGTCCTCGATGATTCCAATTCCGATGACCGCGATTGAACCTGCTCCGACACGATGGTGCCTTCCGTCTGCTTGAAATCACGCTGGCTCCTGAGCTAGCTAACTTGGATCTGATGGATGGCAGTTACGACACGCACCTGGGTATAGTCATGGCCTCTTCTTCTCGGAGCGGACTCTTCTTCCTTTCTCCTCTTCAACACTCAACATCTTGGATTCCATCAGTCGTTCATCGTCCACATCACTAGTTATTCATTAAGAGAATCACTACTCACTCAACCGTCCACCAAGCATTTACTGTCCAATCAACTCCCACAGAATCAGTCATGGCAGCTGAAAAGAGAACACAGTATGGCCCCTTGGTTTCGAGTTCTCTTTACCACGCTGACGTTGATAGGGTCACCTCGTTGATCCCGCTTGGTGATGGGTCTCATGATAGAGCCAACGTTCCTGGTATGCTGCCACATTTGAACCCTTTGTGCTCGGCGTCCTGCTCACAGAGATCCAGCATCCTCTTCGCAGTTGCAACCAGAGGCTTCTCGAACGGCAGAGCACGAACCATTCCCTCCTTTGGAGCCTAGTGTCCCTGCGGAAGACCTTCTAACCCGTGATCGAACGGCTGCGTTCAATTCAGCACGTGCTTCCTTGCCAAGGAATTCTCATGGTATGTTGTACACTATTCACCCAGGAACTTGGTTATTACCGTGAGCCCATTGTTGGACTTTCAGCTCACAGTGATGCAGGAACTTCTTCACGACATGGATCAGCGAGTTCCCGAAGCACACGGCCGGTACCTCTAGCCCCAGAAAACACTCGCAGTTCAGGTACGTTATCGATCCAGAGACTTCTCTGTTTGAATGTGTGCCCACCTGCTTTCTTGCACCCCTCGCAGCAAGACTGTTTATCTATACACGTGGAAGCATTACATATGATACCTTGGCATCTTCACAGAGCTGACAACAGACCCAGGCGTCACCAGATCCACAGCCACCGCTGTGGAAGAGCCTCCGGCAGAGAACTTGGATGCCGTTGAAATCCGCGAGGCCAAGGACAACCCCGACCCGCGGCGTGGCGTTTGTGCACGTCTCAACATGGCTGCAGACCGCCAGATTATCCACGAGACCCCTCTATTTTCCTGCGACAAACCTCGTCGGTTGTGGGGAGCTCATCAAAGCATTGCCCTTGCATGGACTACGTTGAACGGACAAACTCGTGACGAGCTTCAAGCGGCATTTGCTGGCCTGCTCGGGCTGAGCACTCGGGCAGGCTTGTCAAAGACTCAGCGCCAACAGCTGGAGGGGTTTGTCAAGGAATATGCCTCCGCAGACATGGGCGGGAGGAGAGTCCATATCCACAGAATCGCATCACACATCAACCATGCTTGTGGTAGATGCGCCAATGCAAAGGCTTCGATCGACTCTGCTGACCCGAACTCCATCTCCGTCACGCTTCTCAGGCCTGTCAGTGCGGGCGAGCAGATCCTCATCAAGTACAAGAAACCGAACGCTCACTGTTTTGTGTGTGGCACAAGGTGGAGGTGGTGGACACGCGCAAGATCTCAGAATCAACCGCGAGACACACATGTGAACCCCCCAGAACAACCCCAAGAGACTCCCACACAAGAACAGCAGCAACCCCCAGCTAACCAGCAACAACCTCCTGAATACGGGGATGCCTCACAAGGTCAAGGCGAGGATGCCTCACAAGACCAAGGCCAGGATGCCTCACAAGTCCAACAACAACCCCGGACGAGGGGCCAGCGCTTCAGACAGAGAGCCCGCAGGTTAGGTCAACGGTTTGGCACTGACCATACAGTTGGTGGTCCCGTCGGTCTCGGCGAGGTTGCGAATTGGGGTCTCTGAAGAATTTGAATCGAATGTTTATGAGATGGGCGGCAAGTGTGACAGACGACCACAGAGAGACGGCATGAGACAAGCGTCACCAGATTATGAAACATCAGCGATAGTCAAGGGTAGTCAAGGGTAGTCATCAAGCGGACAATGCTCCTTTATTGTACTTTCATGGTACCCATTGTCATCAGCAACTTTGATAGATGCGTTTGCCCATCTACCAGAACCAGTCCTTTTCGCCCATAAATGTCCGTGAATGCAGAAACCACCCAAGACCGCACCGCAACCTTCTTACTTGAGGGGAATGAAACGAGAAGAGTGCGTGGCACCAATACCGGGCCTACCGTGCTTGACAGGCTTGCTAGGGGAGGGTCAGCGTTTGCGATTTTGCACACGGGATCGGGAAACGTACTATGAGATGGAGAACTCAGCCAGGTAGTGACCAACCATCTCAGGCTTGATCTCGACCTGGTTGAACTCCTTGCCGGAGTAGATACCAATAACGCTACCAATCATCTCGGGGACGACAATCATGTCTCGGAGGTGGGTCTTGACGAGGTCGGGCTTCTCGTTGGGCTTGGCCTCCTGCTTGGCCTTTCGGAGCTTCTTGATGAGGCCCATGGGGCGGCGCTTCAGGCCACGGTTGATCCTGCGGCGGGCGCGAGCGTGGACAACATCGCGGAGCTGGTCGGAAGAGAGGTCGAGGAGCCTATTGGGAGGGAGCAGATATCAGCATGTGTGGTTCTGTGCAGTCTCCTTGCCCTTTATCCAAAGATGCAGTCATTTCCATGGTCGAGCGGGGGAGCGTAGGGTCGTAGTATCAACATACTGGTCAAGGTCGATTCCTCGGTAGGAGAACTTTCGGAAGGCTCTCTTCTTCTTGAGCTCAGCGGCCTCCTCAGCGTTCTATCAACCGGGCACAAGTCAGTCAAATTCCATGTCCATTTTGCATTGCATTGTCGGGCGAGCGGTGGCGGGTGAGCGCGACGGCGGCGGCGCGGCGGTTGACGAGAGGGAGAGAGGAATCGAGGGCACACGTACGTATTCGTCAGCCATGATCGCGGTGTTGTGTTGATTGAATTCGCTGATCTACCGAAGAGCGAATATGGATGGGCCGGGATGGAGTCGACTTTGAAGGCGGTTGTTGAGTCGCTTGGGGGGCAGCAGGGTACGAATTGGAGCCAAAATTCTGGCAGTAGGGTTTTCGTGCCCTTCACCCCTCATGTCATGTGACCCTGAGATGACCTGTGTGATTTCAAAAACCGGGGAAGCGAATTCTTGAGAATCGAAGCCGGAAAAGGGTTACACCGATATTCCGGTTTCGCTGAGGGCTTGCATCAGATGTGTGGAGAATGCAAGTGGCCCGAGCTCCGTACATCCCTGTCCGGTTTTCGGTGCCGGAACGGCGCGAGTGACCTTGCTGTAGGTAGCTGCATGCCCGAGACCCAAGACGTCCAAGACTTGACCTTTATGATCCATGAGCTCATCCACGTTTCAACCTTGAAAGAAGCAAAGGGAGAGGGGCAAGAGTTGCGGATTTGCTTTGCCAATGCTGTACGGACTCGGATACACGGCTCAAGTTTGCGGGTGGAATGCGTACCAAGACCTGCACCGCATTTTCGACCTGAATGACCCTATTCGCGCCAAGTACCCTGGTACCACCATAACCTTATCGGCCTGCCGTCAACTCAGACAGTTTGCCCATCCACCCTAGTGGTCCAAGAAAAAAATGGCACACTTTGCAAGTACCTACTCTGCCTTTTAATCCGCTGAATAATAGCATAAAAGGCTTATGATTATAAATCTAAGAATTTATGTAGAGTATAGAATATTATTTATTTATTTTATATTTTTATCTATTTATTCTGATCTAACTTATGTCTGTATAGCCCGGCGAAGGTCTCACTGCCTACCTGTAGTATGCCATTTATTTCTTGGACTGGGTGCCACCGCAATACATCAGCCAACCGGGCTACCGAGCAACTTTGTTCCCCTTGCCCGCTTCTTTTGTCTTTTCTCCCTCTTTTACTCTGTTGGTTGGAATAAAGAAGCGAGCAAGCCCAGCCAAGACAACCGGCTCGCATCACCCTCCCGTCATCTTCTTGCTACTGTCCACTCTCGCCTCTCTTTTGTGTGTCCTCGTCCTACACTGGGCGGTGCAACCTCGTCCGTGTTGTGGTTTGCTCGGCGCTGACACCTCTACCTGTGTCGAGTTGCGCGCTTCTTGAGATCCTACAACTGCCTGTTCCCGGAGATGGGGTGATGAACCCATTTTGAATCACCAGGATGACGAAAGACAAAGTGATGGGTCGCCGCCGAGTCCCCGGTTTCGCTGCAATGCCGTCGTCGCATGCGAGGTCGCTCTGCTGTGGCTCTCGGTGGGCATGATTTCCAAGACTCCCAAGACTTCCAAGACCGCATATTCGGCACAGCGAAGCCGGCTTCATTTCCCCCTCGTCAGAGGTCCCGAGTCGCCCAGAAACCCGCGACTCATCAGCCAAGACCATGGCACTGGGGCCAAAAGGCTCGGCTTTTGCTGGCCGGCCGCTACGAGCATTGGCCAGCGCCCGCCTGGGCAGATTGGTCATGGGCGCCCCAAAATGAGCAGAGCTCGGCGTTTTCTCGCAGCGCATCGCATCGCATCGCGTCGACCATCTACGTCCTTGTATGGTGCATTGGCGATGGTGAGTAGACGGCCGCCCTCGCTACAGAGCCGTAGCTACCTGTACCGCAGCCGGAGACCTGTGACGGAGGAGCAAAACCTCCATGCTCCGACGGAGCTGCGACCAAGACGACAGGCAAGCGGCAAATGCCCAGACTCGCAGCGGTCAACGTGGACAATGTATCGGTGCAATGCTGGGCTTGGCGTTTCTCGGCATCCACCCGTGATAAGATTTCGCCAAGACTTCAAAGGCCTCAGAAGGGGGAACACCAGCGCTACCTGTCGTCTCGCCTGCTGGCATGGACCAGTTCTCTTCTTGTCCGGCTCTTTTCGTTCCTTAGCTTCTCTTGTCGTGTCTTGTCCTTCTTGTCCCTGCTCAGCTTCCTTGTATCCTCGTCCGTCCCATTCCATCTCCGACTACTTCATATTCTACTGTCCTCCGCCCGGATGGCCTTCCAACTCGCCAGAGACGCCGTCCTCGACCTTGTCATCGCCTGCGCATTCGCCCTGACGTGAAGCCTCGTGAGCCCCTCCGCCGCGACTCTGCGCTGCCCGTCGCCTCCCACATCACGAGCTGGCTCCACGCGCTGCAGCATCTAGCACAGCAACCAACCGCAGGCCCCGGATGGACGAAATTGGCGATTGTTGCTGAACCGCCGAGTAAACTGCAAGCAAAGCACGGCCTGTGCAGCTTGTAGTTGAATCGGCCTGGCAGCCCAGATTCTTGCAAGCTTGGGGATCCATCGTGGCCGCTTGATATCATGTCGTCCCTCGAGGATGCAGAGTCGTTGACTCTCTCCGGTACCGATTCGAGTAACCCGTCTTCGTCATCGGCCGCTCCCTCGTCAACCGTATCTCTTTCCAACCAGACACCGACCCCGACATCTCCAGTCCTGGCGCCCTCGCCAACCGACGATGACCTCGACCATTACCAGACATTTCCTCCAATGACTACTCCCTGGACCGTGCCAGACCGCTGTACATGGACCTATAATGCGGAGAGAGTGCCAGAGCCTGGCGCCACAGGTCCGGTCGCATGGCTCGACCTGAAACCTATCCCTGGGGCAAAATCACTATCCTGTTACCCTGACGGCATGTTCGCGGATGATAATCGCACTGGTGTTTTCAGTCCAGCTACATGTCCTTATGGGTGGACGACGGCAGAGCTACGCATAGATACCGATGAGGCCCATGACGATGCAACCACTACAGCTGTTTGTTGTTCATCGTAAGTCTTATAGTAGACCCGGAATGGATCGCGCTGATTATTGTAGGGCATATTCCCTGGATGGCAACTTGTGCAAGCGATTAGTGCCCACGGTGGTGGCGGTTCCCATCACATACAACCACACTGCACGTTCATACGACGTTCTATCCGATTCAACAACCACGCTATACAGCGCAACAATCGCTGTCTACACAATTCGAGCCCTTTTCAAAGACGGAGACAAAGATGCACTGGGACTTAAAGACGAGGATGACATTGGCCCTCATCGGCCATCCAAGACCTTGTCTCTGGCTGCACGCATTGGTATTGGAGTTGGTGTCGCGGTGTTTGTGCTACTTGTTATTGGAGCGATCACCTACTTCCTCGTCCGCAGAGACCGGGTTCGATCAGAGAAGAAGCGGGCACACGAGCTCGACGTTATGCGTGCCAGACATGGCACTGGCGGATTGGGAGACGATTTCTATGCTGCGGCCAACGGAAACCACAGGAGAGACAGGAACCGCCACGGAGAGCCACCCCCTGCATACGAGGCTGCGACAGATTCGACCAGCGTGACGGACAATGACAGTCGCCTGAGCGATGATTTGGCGACGAGGGATGAGGAGCTCAGGGTATTGCAAGTCCAGAAGGCGGCGATCCAGCGCCGCATCGAAGAGCTGGAGCGGAGCGAGTCGAATCAGGACCAGAACCAGAACCAGGATCAGAACCGACAGCACTGAAAGGCTGGTGCCTAAAACTGAAGAAGAGGAGAAGGGTGAGGGATCATGAATTAGACGGGAAACGGCCTACTATACCTCCATATGATACCACTTTGCACGGTCCCAGCGTGTTGCTGAGGACCATTTGTTTTGAGTAATTACCTACAAATTCTGGAGGGATTAAGCGGCGGGGCTACACGGGAAAAGGCACAGGCTAAAAACAATTAATTCTCATATTTCTGCCTCTTCTCGATTTGATATCTGCGCTGTTGGACAGGATGATGCCATGGATAGGGATGAGAGAGCATGAGCCGTCAGAGGCTGCTTACTGTGTTTCTAGTGTATCAATAAACTTGAAATACTCATGGATACATCGAGGGTCCCAAACTTGATCACCGACGAAGCTCTGGGCGTCAAGAGTCATGACGAGACCCAACCACATAAAGATTGCCAATGTCGATCTAACAAAGACGACCTCATACAACATTCCTTCCAGAATGTGGCTGCCTTCAGCTCCTTGCCCGAAAACACACCCACTGCTAGATAACGATTGGTTTGCGGTCCTGTAGAGGTTGCAGCAAGGCAACAGAGCAGCTGCGGATTTGACTGGACAATCGCGCCGCGACCCAGACGCATAGGGACGGTTCCTGGATGGAAAGCCTTGGAGGTCGTCAGGTTGCATGAATCTTGAGGCATCTCTGATCTCAATGTTCGCGTATCTAGGCAGCATCTAAACGGGATCCATGGATGGTCATTTGCATGAATTGGGATGCTTGGCGTGGGTGTCAACATCTAAAGTTTGTGTGTTTGAAGTAGTTCTTTGTCCCTGTTATTGAGATCAACCTCGTATATACTCCGTAGTGTCCGCTAACGGAACTGTTAGTGTAGTCAGGGTTTAAGCTTCTGACAACTTGATGAATACTATTCTCAAGCTTACCTAGGAATAGGCAACCGTTTTGAAACCCAATAAAGTCAATTGAATCTTGTCAGCTTTTAGAGACACCAAGATGGAAACATCACGTCATGTTGTTCGTTAAAGGTTGCCCTGCAACATCTTTGACAGGTGCCACGACACGGCGGATCAAGGGTCATTCTGTCGCCTCCAGGAGCACGGGGCAACTCAAGTACAGCTTACCGATCTGTACAGACACCTATGGAGCAGCTCGAGCCACCATCAGCCATTCGCATCAGCAACATTTGCCGGGGCAGAGAGGCCCGTTGGTAGCATGTTAGCACTTAGGCTCGCACACCACACGAGCCGCCCCTGGCAAGGCAAAGTTGCAGTTCCCTCGCCCGCCAGGGGTCCCCATGCTGCGCTTTCAATTGGCGGTGAGGCACCGGGAGGGTACCTGGCGTCTGCGCGGGAATTGGCTGGCGCGCGAGGTACCCCGTGGGATAACCTGAGACGCTGGAGCAGCCTTTTTGGTGCGCGCGGCCCATGGTTTGTTTGTTGTCGACCCCGCCAATGCCCACCTCCTGCGGGCACCCACTCACCTACAGAACCTCCATCCCCAAACACCCGCCGGAAAATCATCACCACGCCCCCGTCTCCCCCTTCCCCTTCTCTTCCTCAAGCGCTGAGCGCGTATAACTCTCTCCCATTCCCCCAACTCCACCTCTGGTCGTAGCTCCTTTAGCTTCGTTCATACACAATGAAGGGCGAGGTAAGTTGTATTGCATCCGAATGTTGTCGCCGTGAGACCGCTCCCACCTAGCCAGCTCAGCTGCCAGCAGCTTGCCGCTCCCGGCATGGGTCGGCTGTTCCACTTGGTGTCCTCTGTCTAGGACCCCTATCGTCCACCGAGACCACAACCAAAAACGAAGCTCGCGATGCTGATGCTGATGCTTCGTGATCCAGATTCTTCACCTCCACCTGGGCCAGGCTGGTACCCAGCTCGGTAACTCTGCTTGGGAGCTGTACGTCCACCATCACCGCTACCGTCGCCATCGTTCGACCCCCGGCCCCGAAGCTGACCGATATCTTGAATAGCTACCTCCTCGAGCACGGCCTCGGCCCCGATGGTCGTCCCGACCCCAATGCTGGCGATATCGGTGAGGGAGGCTCCTTCGAGACCTTCTTCACCGAGACGAGCAGCGGCAAGCATGTTCCTCGCTCCATCTTTGTCGATCTCGACCCCTCTCCCATTGACGAGATCCGAACTGGTGGTTACCGCCAGCTCTTCCACCCCGAGCTGTTGATCAGCGGCAAGGAAGATGCTGCCAACAACTATGCTCGTGGCCACTACACCATTGGCAAGGAGATGGTCGACAATGTCATGGACCGCATCCGCCGTGTGGCTGGTGAGTTTCGCAAACCCTGAGGCTGCGCGCCTCATCCCTTGGAACCCCTGCTAAATCGAACGACCAGACAACTGCCACTCTCTCCAGGGCTTCCTTATCTTCCACTCCTTCGGTGGTGGTACCGGCTCCGGTTTCGGTGCTCTCCTCCTCGAGCGCCTCTCTACCGAGTACGGCAAGAAGTCCAAGCTTGAGTTCGCCGTCTACCCTGCTCCCCGGACCTCGACCGCTGTTGTTGAGCCTTACAACGCTGTTCTGTCGACTCACAGCACCATTGAGAACTCTGACTGCACATTCCTCGTCGACAATGAGGCCGTCTACGACATCTGCCGTCGCAACCTCGACATCCCCCGTCCTTCGTACGAGCACCTGAACCGCCTGATCGCCCAGGTTGTCAGTTCCATCACCTCGTCTCTCCGATTCGACGGTGCTCTCAACGTCGATCTCAACGAGTTCCAGACCAACCTGGTTCCTTACCCTCGAATTCACTACCCGCTCATCAGCTACGCTCCTGTTATTTCCTCGGCCAAGAGCGAGCATGAGAGCTTCAAGGTCCACGACCTCACCTTCCAGTGTAAGTGATGATCGCAACTTGGCCATATATGCCAATTGGACTGACGTTTCCCAGGCTTCGAGCCCAACAACCAGATGGTTGTTTGCGATCCCCGAAACGGCAAGTACATGGCCGTCGCTCTCCTATACCGTGGCGATGTCGTCCCCCGCGACTGCAACGCTGCCATTGCTGCCCTCAAGGCCAAGGCCTCATTCAACCTCGTCGAATGGTGCCCTACTGGTTTCAAGCTCGGCATCAACTACCAGAAGCCCATGGCTGTCCCCGCCGCTCCCGAGGATGGTGGTCTTGCTTCCGTCAAGCGATCCGTTTCCATGCTTTCCAACACCACTGCCATCGCTGAGGCCTGGTCGCGTCTTGACTACAAGTTCGACCTTATGCACAGCAAGCGTGCTTTCGTCCACTGGTACGTCGGCGAGGGTATGGAGGAAGGCGAGTTCACCGAGGCCCGTGAGGATCTCGCTGCTCTGGAGAAGGATTACGAGGAGGTTGCTGCCGACTCGTTCGAGCCCGAGGAGGAGGTCGAGTACTAAACGGTCGTATCTTGGGACTGGCTTGTATAACCTCTTTCGACTTCTTTCGAGGCGTGTTAGAGCGATGGTCTTGCCAGGGCTCACGCCTATGGCGATGCAATCTACAGAGAAGAGAGCTGTGGATTATGTTGATTAAGATTCCCGATATTTGTTGTTGGGTGGCACATGAAGAAGGAAGGATGTGTTTACCACTAGACGCCAGAGTTTGGCTCAGGGTATCCCGCTAGCACGTGGTCTTTTTCTCTTGGACCCAGGTCCTAATAGACGAGGTTATCCCTTGACACAAGTTGGCACTTATTTCTGATAAAGCAGGCAAGTAAATTTGATGATATCTGTTTCTTCTTTAATGAGAGTAAATTGGAGCATTTCTCATTTGATTGGTGTGAAATGAAGTTGTTTATATAGTTGAGATTGTGGGTTGTAGGTATTCTACTACCAACCAGAGAGTTATCATGATGCTGTTTGCTTGGCAGCGTCGGAAGTTGCCGTTAGTGAAGTACCACATTCAGTTGATGAGGGAACCTTGTCAGCAAACATTTGGGTGACAATGTAATAAAAAAGATGCCCAGAATCGTAGCATTAAAAAAGCAAACTTGCTCAATATCCGAACTGAACTCGTGAGCTTGAGGAATATGTACTTCTATCTCATCTAAGCAACCTTTGCGGCTGTGGCCAAAATTCACAGCACAACTTTTCCGATCCCCGTGCGGGCGCGGGGCCCTTTTCAAAACATCCGCTTTCGCACTCAAAGCCCACACGGCCGCTTCTCACTAACTAACTACCCCATCCATGCGTCATCCGCTGCCGAGAAATCAGCATCAGCTCTTCTTCTTCCACTCGGCAGCTCTCCTGGCGCTTCGATTTTGCGGCTTGCCTCCCTTGGCCTTGGCCTTGCTCTTGTTCTTGCCCTTCTTGCCCTTCTTGAGGTCCTTGGGTAGAGCGTCCCTGGATGTGGCACGTCGGCCCTCAAAGATGACCTGCTCTGGAGTCTTGATCTCACCAAGGGGGTTTGAAACCTCTTCGGGAGACTCCTTTGAGGGACGCTTTCCGTGACGCTGCTGGATGGCGGCGGAGCGGCCGAGAAGTTTGCTTGTGCGGCCAGCCATGGACTGCTCCTCAGGTGTCGCCTTGGGCTTGTACTTCATGCTCTTGGGTGCGCCGTTGGTGGCCACAGCCTTGGCCTTGGCTCGCTCCTGAGCGAGGGCCGTCTTGCGAGGATCCTTGGCTCGAGTAACACGCAGCTTGCGGGGGAGCATGGGTGGGAACTTCTTGTCATCAAGGAGCAGGGCGGCCTCGACATCATTGGCGTCCTACAAATCCTGTTAGCCCTGGTTTCATCCGTGTAAGTGGCAAACTTTGCGGAGACTTACATAAAACTGCACATAGGCGATGCCCTTGCCCACGCGAGTCTTGGAGTCTCGGACAACTCGGACATTTTCGACCTTGCCCTGAGTGCTGAAGGTGCGCCATAGGCCTTCCTCGATATCGGAAGGAGTCTTGTTTCGCTTCTTCTGTGTAGTATCTCCATCGGCGTTGGTGGCCAGGATAGTCTCGTCATCAACGAATCCCAAGTTGCCAACAAACACGCATCGGCGGTGGTCTGTGGGACTGGGGTGAGCGACACTGTCCACCCTCAGGTGTCGGTCAAGCACCTGGGTGCCGTTGAGCTTTGCGACGGCCTCCCGGGCAGCCGCGATAGTCGAGTACACGACATAGGCATTGGCCGACTTTGTTGTGGCGTCCATCAGCGACTTGGTGATGTAGGCCGCGCGCTTTGGCAGAGAGCCACCCGCGAATGCGACAGAGCGGAAGCGGATGGACTCAATGGTCTGTGGTGGAGATGCATCCTTTTCCAAGATGGAAGAGAGATGTGCCATGAGCGTCTTCTTGGCCGTCTTGGAGGATATAGCTTCGGTGGAAACGTTGGCAAGGAAGACTGTCCGAGCTGCCTTTTCCAGATCCGAGGACTTGTCTTCCTTGGCAAGTGTCTCGTGGACAGGGATATCGCTCTCATCGCCGCTGGCCTCGTCGTCCTCACCCTCAACCTTCTCACCGTCTTCTTTTGAGCCATCGTTCTTCTGTCGCTTGCCCGCACGCTCAGCCTCCTCCTCTGCAGCAACTTTGCTCAGATAGTTGCCCTCGAGATCGTCATTATCATTCTTGCGCTTTCTTTTCCGTTCCTTCTTTTCTTTGCCTTCGGTGGCATCGATAATAGCGTCGAGTTCGGCTGGCGCATCTGTCATGGGCTCGTCTGCACTCTCTGTGGCGTCCTCATCCCCTTCGCCGTCCTCCTGCTCTTCAGCCTCCGAGTCTTGCTCATCCTCGTCCTCATCCTCATCATCCTCCCCATAGCTCAGCTCCTCACTGATTTCCGAGAGCACTTCGTCGTCGTCGTCGTCTTCTTCACCGTCCTCCTCCTCCAAGACTAACTTTGGTTGGGGTGCTTCTCGGGGCTTCTGTTCCAACAATGCCGAGTATCTTGACTTGGTGGGGGCCTTGGTAGGACCAGACTATAATTGATTAGCCAGGAGGGCAGAGAAGACAACAATGTCGCAAAACTTACGCTGGCCGCAAACAGAGCGTCGAGTGTGGGGTCCACAGCCTTGGAAGAGGCCGTCAAGCCCTTTGTGCTGCTTCAGTTAGGATTTTCCATTGCCTGGACAAGATGAGGAATGGCAGAAGAACTCACTGTTTAGCCATGGTCTCGAAGACTTGTTTCTGACAGAATCGGTCAACTCGCTAACCTGCTGCGAAAAAAAAAAGTGCCAGCCTCTGGATCGCGACTGGAAAAAGGCACAGAAAAAGTCCAGCTCCAGAGGGTCCACATGAACCTCTGAGTGGGCGTGGATTTGGAGTGCGCCGGAAGCCTTGCTGCCCGGAACAATGCGTCATTGGCCTGAACCGGATGCTCCATCATGGCACACCCCCCGAGGCCAGTTTCTGCCATGGACGACCGCTTTTGCCCCGTCATTCTCAGCCCGCTCTCGGTTTTCCTCTGGCGACTGGCGCAGGCCCTGGCCCCCCAGCGCAAACCGGCACCGTCCACCGTCCATCTCCGTCCTCTCTCTTGTCCCCTCCTCTCAACTCAACCGTCCGTCACCGGAAGCCCTTGGCCTTGCCAGAACCTCTCGCGTCTTCCATGCCGCAGCAAGACAAAGGCTGTTTCAATCAGCTTCGCTTTAGCTCGGCCTTACCTCTTCAAGTCCACCCTTCACGACACCCGATCCCCAATCACCCAGCTGCCGTTCCTCATCACTCGTCTCCACGGTCGCGCTGCTCCGACCTACCTGTCGATCACCACCACCACTCTTCTACACCCGATACTGCAAGCCTACCTACTCTCTCCATTGAGCAAGGCCATAGACACGTCATCGCGTCTTTCAATAACCATGGCGGCGACCGCTACCGCGCCCCCGCCCCTCTCCTCACCCGCAGTTGGGGTTGTTGATCATGAGGACAGCAACATCTCCAGCCCTCTCAGCGAGGTTGACACCAAGGACGACAACGACGAGGACATTGAACATATGCATCTTGACAATGACGACGAAGACAGCACCAGGCCGAGCCCAAAGAAGAGGCCTCATGCCGCCTCCGATTCTGACAGCGTCCTCTCCGACGCCCACACCTCGGACGGCAACGTTACCGAGGCAGAGACTGAGCGGCTCTACGACACCCCGAGGCATCAGCGACAGAGGGACGTCGTCGTAGACCAATTCAACGAGGGTCAAGTCTTTGAACACACCCCGAGCAAGCTCCGAAGAACCGCCAACCTAGACGACCATCACGACGACGAATCCACAATGGGAGACGATGCCTCTATAGGCTCCCCAACAATCGGAATAGAATCCCCATCGAAACCTGCGACAAAGCACGACGCGGCATTGGAAGATGACCATAAGAATGACTCCCAAGACCGCAAGCGAAAGCGCTCACCAGCCGCTGATCAGTCAGAAACCGAGCAGCCACTTAGGAAGCGGACCAGCTCGGTCCCAGTGGCTGATATAGAGACTCCCCAGCAAGCTGAGGATACAGTCATGCACGAAGATGAACCAACTCCGGCCAACGAGAGCAGCGGCACACAAACTCCTGCTGAAGAAGTGGATGTTTCTCCACGAAAGAAGTCCACAGCCCGCGAGGATGGGGCGGTAGAGCGCACAACTCGCGCGACAAAGAAGGGCACACGCGGATCAAAACGCAAAGTGGCAGCCGCTACCGAGGCCGATCATGACACAGACAATGGCAGCCATGACGGGGCCCGTGATAGTGCTCGGGGGACTGACGTAGAGCAACATGGAGAGGAGCTGGAGGCTGATGCGGACGAAGAGGTTGACGCAGCTACTGCACACGATGAAGAGAGTAAGGATCGCCCGGCCAACACTCCCAACTCGGTTGACCATGCTCACCCAACGACAGTGGAGCGAAAACACGCAGCGTTTAAAGATTGGACACATATCGAAGAGATGTTTGGGGTATTCAGAGACAGGTAGGCCTCGGTTCATCTCCTTTGGTACATTGCGCTGACAGCAGCTAGACTATACAAGGACCGGCTTCAACGACTCGAGGAAGAGGAGCAGTCACTCATCGCCAGCGTCCCAACACACCCCGAGTACCTTAACATGAAGCAGTGCCTAGATGACCGGTTGGAGCAGAAGCTCCGAGAGATCAATAATGAGCTCGACTATCGTGTCAAGGCACATGAGAGGCGCGCAGTTGCTCAGCGAGCTCAAGTTTGGGGTCAATACTATCAGGCGGTACGAGAAAAGCGAGAAAAGACGCTGGAAGCTCTCAACCAGGAGTGGTACGACATTCAAACAGCAAGACGAAGCGCGCATAGCCTGCAAGATTGCGGCCTGCTCTTCCCTAAGGATCCTGCGCAGCGAGTACGGAATGCCATCGCCTACAACACCGAGGTTTCGACTCTGGCCAGCATAGCCAAGTATGAAGGATTCCCTGCAGGGCCGGAAATGACGGGAGCGACTCCTTCGGAACTTGATGATGACTTGGCTGCTATTGAGGTATGTTGACAAAGTCAAGTCAACTCCCCAAGACTGCTGAGCTGACTTGTGTAAGCGAGCCAAACGAGCCCGGCAAAAGCCACCACCACAGCGACGTGAAGAGTACTATACGCCGCCATTCGATCGCCTTGGCCCTGCCGGTGAGCAATTCCTCCGGGAGACGCCTTGGGCCAACCCAAACCACCTAGCCCACAAGATGTATCCAACACCAACACCAGTGGCAGCGGTTGAGGGACAAGTGGAGAATACGGCCAGTGGCGCGGTACCGCAGGGTCAGATGCCGGCTGCAGCGGATATCAAGTCCAACCTGAACGCCGCTCGTCCTAAGCAACACTCACCTTCATTAGCAAACCGGTTGTCAGAATCCCCCGAGCTGACACGGACAATGATCAACTCAGCTCATAACCCAATGAAACGGGTTGGCAGCCTCTCGAGTGTAAGCCGAGGGTCAAAAGCAGCCGCAGCTTGAGCAATTGATTGCACAGACCAGTGCATTTCAGCTCATCCCTATTATAGGACTTGTTAGGAAAGGATGGAGTATATTGCTTTTGTACTCGTTTTGTGATACCCATGGAAAACAATCGGCCGAAGCTCGGGTGTATTCGATTTTCCTTTTTCTGTCTGGACTCGAACATGGTTAGAGCATTGGGTGTGTCTACGGTGGACAGCGCGGTTCTTTTGATGATGGTTGGAGAGGGGCAGAATCTTGGTTGCAGCGGGCGAGGGCTCGCGTGCTTCAAGAACTATTGTACAATGGGTCATTTATTCGTACATGTTGCGCAGAAGAGTTCGCCAACGTGGTGTACAGGAAGGCTCTGGGGTTATAACAGGCGTTCTGTGTGGCAGGTAGCATGAATGGCATAGCTGCTTTGACGTTCTTCCTCCTTTTAACTTGTCCAATGCTTTGATTTGCAACGTTGATCTAAGAGATGATTCCCTAGGCGTCCGGCCTATCATATGTAGAATTTACTTGGAAGAGGCGGGTTTCCGAGGCTCATCAGGGACCTTGACATCTTCAAAGTTGTCCTGGCCAACGGCGTTGAGGGTATAGTAATCTAAGTAGTGTAAGCGCGTGGCGGTAACATGGAGGCGGCTCGTCGTACAGATGGCTCCGACAACGGTCAGGAGGCCAAGACCGGTGACGGCGTTCTTGAAAAGATAAGGTCGTCGAGCTCGAACGAGGGCAGGGCCTTGTCGCAGGCGGCGATCGTAGTATGTCGATTGCGGGCTGTCTCGGAGGTCATGATCAGTCCACTATGCACAATAATGTAGAGCCTAGATGAACGAACCTGGGAGGCATTGTGGAGATGGCAAATATTCACACGAGAATAAATCAAGAGCAGAGAAAGTAGAAGCCGGACAAATTGACAATTGCTGGATTATCAATCGGCACTTCAAAGGAGTGTCGATGCGCCAGAGTCACTTCAGTGGAAGATCTTTGCGGCTGAACTTCGGCTGGAGGCAGGTCTGTCGTGACGTCTGAGGTACCTTTCCTCTGGTGGAGCTAAAGCGTGGGTAGCGTGCGTTGCAAGGGTCTGTTCCACGTCCCGTCTTCTTTACTTTCCCGCGTCGTCGCCAAAACTTGGAGCCCAGCTTCTACATACCTTGTTCGGCCTTTGTAACAAAGACGACGACGCGCAGCGCACGCCCAGGAAGCTGATGCGCCTCGAATCAAAAGCCCTGCGACACCCGATTTTCGATACTGGACCTCTGTTTCCGTCTTTGCTGATGCTGGGCCTTTGATGCGGAGGATGCTAAAAAGTATACAACTGGCAAGCTCAGCAGCCTAGTCGCGCGACCACCCTCCAAGAGCCGCATTGCCATACTCACAGCTCCCGCCGCTGCTGCCATCGCCCGCTCCTCTCCAACTCATGGTATCCTTTTCGTCTAGTCATAGTTAGACGTCTGGTTCTCTCCCTGCTACCATCCTTGCCGATCGAAGACATTCAGTAAACAACCATGACGGCGAACCTATCAGTGTCGGACCAGATCCGGCAGCTCAACGATGCCCGAAAGCTCGTCCTGGGAGACGTCAAATACTATCCAAGCATCGTCAGAGGGATCCTCCCCATCATTGGACCGAACGCGGCGATCGAACTCCGACGATGGGGCGCCGAATTCCTCGCCGAGGCCTTTGCGACGCCAGCCCTGCCGAACGGAGAGAAGGAGACGATGCAGCCCTACGTATTGGCGACACTAGAATCGATGATGGAGAATGATCGAGAAGACCCCCAAGTCATCCGGAGCGTGATCCAGTGCGCTGCCAGCATCTATCCGCTGGCCTTGAGGTGGATGTACGTCCGCACTCCCTAACCTTGCACAGGCTGAGACTAATGTTTGCGATGCAGCATAAATAACAGCTACGATACGATTACGTGGCAGAGAATGGTGTCAATCAAGCAGAAGGTTTTACGGATATGGGACAATGCAGCCCCTTCCGTGAGGATCTGCTGCATCAAGTTTGCGCAACGTGTGGTTTTGGCGCAGAGTGTCGCTTCTGGTGCTGAGCTCAGAGTATGGTTCCTAGAGACTGGTTCGTGCAGGATATCGCTAACGTATAATACCAGTATGGTGGCACCCTCGACGTCTCCTTGGATAAAGTTCCCCCGGGCCACCAGTCCCTCGACCCCCGGAATTTGGAGGCAGAAGCATCAGGGCTCCTGGACCGAATGCTTATAGTGCTTCAAGAGAGCAGGTGAGAGTGACGGTAACACAGACTCCGGTCTCGGCAGCTGACTCGTTGTGAACTGTAGTGATGCACTGGTCGTAGATGCGACGCTCAATTGCTTGTCTATTCTCGTGAGAACGCGCCCGGCAACATCGAATCGAGTTGTTAATGCTCTTCTCAACTTCAACCCCCTCAAGCTCGCAAACTCACCCCTCACACCCAAAACTCGCGTCATGATGAGATCGATGGAAAAGACAAGTCGACTGCTCTTGATCCATCTAATGAAGCGAGATCCTCACAACCCCATGACACCCAGGATTCAGCAGCACGTAGAACGCATGATGCGCACCATGGCTGAGATATTCGACGACTCGGGAAGGAAACGGCCTCTCGCGGCACAGCATCATGACGGATATGATGCCAAACGACAACGCTTGACCCCCGCCCAGATCCAGGTGCCCCCGCTGGGTCCTGGCACGCACAGCCTGGCAGATGTGTTTACATTGATCGATAATGACGCTCTAAGGAACTTTGACATCTTCCAAGTCCCTGCACCAATGGTGGCCAAGATCGCAATCACGACGCTTGCGAGTATCGATCAGCAAGTGTTGGCCAAGGCGGTTGATGGTATCCGTGGACGTCTAGACGCCCTTGCCAGTGCTCCAGCTCCCGAACTGAACCCCAATACTGCCCCGCTGGGTGTGGATGAAGATGACGACGACTACGAGCCCGACTTTTACCAGGCTGAGGATACAGAACAGATTCTCAACAAGCTAGATAGCTCTGCTGTTCACGATGCGTCATCAGGTCTAGAGGATAGCCTTGCGTTGAAGTCGTTCCACCTTCACCAACCTCAGGCACTAACACCGGAAACGGCTCTAACAGCGGGTAACGGGACTGTGACGCGGGTGATTGAGATGATGAAATCTTTAGAGGATCCCTCAAAGAAGAGCAAGGCTGGTTTCAGTAGGCTAGCTGCCAGCTCTGGAAACCGAGACTCGTGGATGACGATACTGGCACGACTGGCGACACGGTCAGTGGCTGGCCTCGAGGGAGTATCTGTGAAGGAGGAGGGCGACCCATCAGCACCGCAATCCCTCAGCAGTAACATCCGCGACGTTCTTTATGCCTACGTGATGGAGGACTTTCGAAAACACATCGACGTGGCAGTTTCTTGGCTGTGTGAAGAGTGGTACAACGACAAGCTACAGCAGAAGTCAGGCGGCGATCGAGCGCTGCATTACGAAAAGTGCTGCTTGCGGCTGATTGATGGATTCTTGCCATATCTGAACGCCCAGGACAAGGTGCTCACGCGATTCCTGAGTGAGATTCCGGAACTGAACCGGAATATTCTCTCTCGGGTGAAGCACATGTGTCGCGATCCCAGCATTGTGCAGTTGGCCCTAACAAGCCTGCTCTACTTGGTCATGATGCGACCGCCTATCAAGGAGGTTGCTCTAGATACGGTGCAAGATATTTGGACCGAGTGTAAGTTGAAAATGTATTTCGTTTAGTGACTTATGCTGACTTGTGTCTAGTCGAGGAGGCGAGGCCTATGGCGGGCAAGTATTTGTCCAAGTATCGGCCTGCTTTCATGGAGGCGGCACGGGAGGCAGCTGGCGACAATGCTGGGCAGACGACAGCACCTGCAATCGCAGCTTGAAGGCCTCTGTCCTGAAACAGCCATGGCGTAAGATGGGGAAATTTGGCGACGAAAGTGCAAGGCGGCCGCTATTGACGTTCTCGGATTGTATTAAAATGTAAAGGCTACAGACGACGGAGTTGGGTGGTCATGATGAGCGGCTGGTGGTAGGACACGGCTCGCTTTCGGAACGCCCATACGGATGGATACACATCAACTATAAACAAAGAGGGCGGGCCGCTGAAAACTGGCCCAAAAAACAAGGGCATTCATTGGGAGGCGTTTTAAGGGGCAAGGTTGCGATGCTGCACACACATAACATAGGCTGGGTCTAGAGATGATGGACAGGGAACAGCCAGATACCTCACACTGTCGGGCTGTATGATTATTGTATCAAGTGGCTGCAAAAGAATTGAACCAGGGGGTGAGCATCTTTCGATGCAAGCCGAGCACGGATACGTGATGGATGGGATGGGATGTGAATGGATGCGGGCACAGATCAGGGATATTGATGTGTATCACGACATGGATGAGATGAGTTTGAACAAATAATAGTGGAAGAATTGACGGGCTATGAAGCCTAGTTGTCATAATTTGCGTGGCGTTTCTATTCTCAGCAGTAGAAGGTTGAATGAATGGTTCTCAAGACCTAGGGATGAAGCGAGCAGAGATAACAAAGAAATAATGCATACGAGACTTGAGTGTCTAAATAAAGCCTTGGCGTTTGAATGGAGTTTAGCAAGGCTGACAGCTCGTCGTAATATGATGCGTATTAGCAGCCTAGGCTCCAAGAAGTGCAATTTAGGGATCAGGCGTTGGGAAGTTGACGGAAATACGGATAGGAATGAAGGTCATGATGAGTGGCGGGTTGAAGCCTTGACAAAAGGGTCCATTACCGTCATGCCGCTTCCACGAATCCAAGCCCATCTCTTAGTGACGGTTCAGCCTCAACTGGGCATTCCTGGAATTCCTATCTGAAAGCTGCATGAGAGATGAGAATCCTCGTGCTTGACTGTGATACAAAGTCCTTGGCGGCCGAGCCGGGCCATGCCCTTCCAGGCTGGGATCCCCCTGCAGGCTCACCGGAGCACCCTTGGTCTTTCACGGGCGCTTTTTCAGTTCAGGTCGTATGTAAACATGGGTTGCGTGTTTTGGGAAATCCCGTCGTCATGCCCCGGAATCTCATGTTGCTGTGGCATCAGCGTCTAGAGTTTCAAACGTGAAGGGTCCGTGACGTCCATCAGTCGGCCCCAGGGCGGGATTGATTAGCTATTCTATTCGTGCTGTTCATGCTCAATGCTCATGCTCAAATCTTACATTCTCTCTTCTTTCATCTTCCCATCCCCGGTCGATATTTGCTTCTTCTGCTTCATCTCCCACTGACAAAACCTGGCCGATCAATCTCTACAACCCGGACCTCCCATTAAACAGGAGTCAAAAAGAGCCGTGAGCGGGCCCCCCGGAGCGAGTGCCCGTCAAACCAGTTTTTATTGCGGGATTGGATACGGACCATCCTCCACTTACCCGTCGATCCATCCAACGCGGCGTCCTTCCAACGGCGGGCGGCGGTGACGGCAGAACGGGGGACCAGCGGGAGAGCCACACTCAGCAAGCGGGAGCCAACCCAAGATTGAACGCCAGCACCAACGCCAGTCAGCCAGCGTAACCCAGCCAGAGGCCCGAACTAACAGCCCAGGCATAAGCCCAGCCATCCCTCCCTTGAGAGAGAGAAAAAAAAACAAAGAAAAAAAAGAGGCCAAGGCTGTGCGCGTGTGTGTGTTTACTTGCCGATTAATCTATTGTGCTGCGCTGGTCGACGCTTACGCCGGGAAGAAGCTTGCTTGACCAATCCTCCTCCTCCCTTTTTCGCTACTTTACCCAACAACAACAAACATCAACACCCATCAACAACAGGCACCCCCCTCTGCCTCTTGTCCCGGTGCAATGCGGAATCGCCTGCACAAAAAGGACTTTTCCATTCACAAGGACGCTGTCAACGGTACGTATGTACGCATACCGCACAGAGAGGATGCTCTGTTCAGATAGAGTCAACCTCCAATCTACCGACATTCAGCTGCATCTCTTGATGCTGCCCCATCTTTGAAACAGCTCCCCACATCTCGACGGGGCGCATCTGCATTCCCTCCGTCCCGTCCTGCCCGTCCAATGTCTTCTCACCCTCAGCCCTCAGCCTCACTCACTCACTTAACTCCCGCAAAAACTCTTTCCACTCCTCCGCATGCATGAATGTCGGCCGTCGAAAAAAAACCTGCGCTAATCTCACCCACTCCTCTCCAGCCGCCGCCTCTCTCGCCGCCAGATTCACCGAACTACATGCTCCCGCCGAGAAGGAAAAGACCTTGACGCCCGCCTCCACCGGCTCCATCAACAGCATGAAAGGCCGGAGCCCTGCGACCTACAAGCCGGCAGTCGCCAGGTCGAGCACTATCCGGAGCGTACCCAGCTTCGAGGGCTCCGAGTCAAGCCCCGACAGCAAGCACAGCGCCTTTTCAAGTAGCGTCAACAGCACCGCCAGCGCCATGTCCAACAACCCCGAGACGAACCACCACGCCCAGACACCCATCAAGGCCAAGGCCGACCCAAACAACACATCAACGACACCCTCTCGCTGGAGCACAGGCGCGCCTCGAGTGGTAGAACCTACCCCGGAACCAGAACATTCCACAATGTCAGAAGGACCCGAACACACGGACGGCCAATGGGACTCGACGATTGGCAAGGCGGGTTTGGGCAAGACTGGGCGTGTTATCAACAAGCTCGTCAGCGACAATGAATCCCTCAAGCGAGATATCCAGATCGAGCGCCTAAAGGCCGACGAGGCCAAGCAGGCCGCGAAGTTGGTCGAGGACAAGATGGAGCGCGTCGTTAGCGACTACGAGAGCCGGCTCCTCGAGGCCAACGTCACAAAGACTCTGCTGGCCCGCAAGGAACGCCAGGTCGAATCGCTATCAGCCACCGTCGACCTCGAGAAGAAAAAAACAGCCAGCGCCCTAGAGCGGGAAAGGAACTGGAAAGATGAGATGGAGAAGACAAGGAAGGAGACGACAGTTCAGGTTGAAGAGGCAACAAATTATGCGCAGCTGATGGAAGGCCGATACAACGCCATCTCTTCCCACTGGCAAAATCAAGGCGACGAGGTGAAGCGGGCCGTTTCCAAAATGAAGACCGAGATCGAACAACTAAACGAAGAGCGACGGAAAGACGACGACAAGATACAGACACTGAAGGATCTCTGCGACCAGCAAGACAACAACATCAAGCAGCTTCGACATGAAAAGGAAGAGATTGCCCGCATGTTTGAAGAGTACAAGAAGGCTCAAGAGGACGCACTCAAGGACATCAAGACCAACGCAAGGAAGCGAGAGGATGAGCAAGAACGCCTATTAGAGCAGTCCAGAGAGGCACTCGCCAAGTTAAAGTGGGCGTTGAACGTCAAGGAAAACGTCAAAGGCGCGCAATGATTTCAGCCCCGCGCATGTCGTGAGGGGCCACCAGCCTCTCGTTTCACTCAATACTCGGACCAGGTCGAACAAAGAGAGGTCTCACTTGACCTCCAACTGAACCCAACCGCTCCGAGGCTCTATCAGCGCCCATCTCTTCCTGCCGCTTACTCCAGTTACCCTCTCTCCTCTTGATGTTTCATCAACAGCTCCTCGATTTCACGTCTACGAACACTGTCACGACCACTGCTGCCTTGATACCACTCATTGTATACCTTGTTGTTGCTCTTTGTTTCTTTCTTCACTTCAGATAGATGGACTGGACATTTACCTACTGGATATGGCTTTTGTTTTTCTCCCCAGTCTCACCACGATTTGCCCTTGGGGCCTTGGGGTCGGCAGGGATAGGCGCTACTGGCGTTGGGCGTGCCTCTCTGAGGTACTGGAAGTTTTGTGCCACTCTGCTCAGCTCAGGTGGCTCGTTGAATTCGGATATTGCCCCAGTTTGAGGGAAACGGACTCGGGAAAAATAGAAAAAGAATGGAACCTGGGATTTTCTTAGAGGCGGCTGATGAGGGGGACAACCCAAGGTGAAAGGGTTGGGCCAGCTTTTCTTGTCCTTGGGAAGACGTCGGATACCCAAGCAGCCAATGAATATATTTTTGGGCGCTCATTGCTTTTGGATCCATGCATGTCAAAGGTGGTTGTCCTTCTTTGTTTGCAAGAATGCTCACTGGCTCGTTCAAAAGTTGAGACCAGCTCATCAACCGCCCACGGCCCAACCCGCCCAGTCCATAGTAACTATACCACACCCATAGTAATAATAATACTTAGAAGAGATAAGATTTCCTGCTATGCTAGCTTCTATGATATGCATATCTTATCTTTACTTTTATCGGTTCGTGATTCACTGCCATAGCTCCTTAAGTCACAGTTGTGAGGGCCGATGCCGCACGGTCTATCAGTGTTTGTCACTTGCCAGCAACTGCCCACGGGAAGGTGCATAGGAGAAGAATTTGATGCGCCTTCCTTCTTTCTAACCGTCTGGTCCGGTACCCCTCCTCCTTTCGTTTCTAATCATGTCGTTGTGAGAAATCTCTGCCTTCTCATAAACACATCCCACCACGAACCCGAGCCTATCGACAAAGAGGACTACTTTCTACCGAGTTCTTTACACCGCGGCGTATCAAGTCTTAGATCACGTTCTCTTTTTTTCTCACCACTCCTCCGAGGGTAGTTCCTTTTCTTCTAACTGCCTTATTACGCCGTATCGGTCGCTCTGCCGGCGTCGCGACCCCCCCGGCCGTCTCGATCACCTCTTTAAGACCCTCAGGCCTTAACTCGCGAATAAGCGGCCGATACCACCGACTTGACCATCACGCGGCCAATTAACCTTGCCGGTTTTATATTATTCGCGAGGTCCGGATCCTCGTGCTGCCTTATCCGACCGAGCCACCCGCGGCCGCTTTCGCGAAACCTCTTCTCACTCATGAACCACGCCGCATCCCAGGTAGCGCTACGACAAGGAGGACAGACATGCTATTTACCGCCGCCTTTTAG